AATTTGAAATACTAACTACCATTTACCACATTTCGCCACCGTCTACCACTCGTCACCGCCTGATTGCATTGTGATATATTTGGTCTTGATTTTTTTTAATGTGTAGATCGCGATGAACTCTTTCCATCTATGTAATAAAATTTTTTTAAAATTTTTTGAGTAAGAAACAAAGGTTGCACTATGGTGGTAACGACTTGTAAAATGGTAGGTAAGATTTTTCCACCGAAATACATATTAAAAATTTTGAATATAATTTTGTACATCACAATAAATTCATTTTATATTTGTAATTTTTTAAAATGTTTTGAAATAATACCAAAAAAGATACAAGATGATTAAAAAAATACGAAAAAAAAAAATCTTTTCAATTTTCTTCCAAGCTCTTCATCAAAGGATTTGGTTGGAATTATGGACTGAACGCAACAACGGCATCTTCAAGGATACCAAATGGAATTGTTATCATTCTCCCTCACTAATAGAACATGGTTCAACATTTGTTTGTGGGTTATTGCGCATCATCCGAGTTTCACTCGATGATATTCAAAGATAAGTTATTCTGCTCTGTATATGTAATGTAGCTATAGGATTCTCGAGGCATGTTTGTTAAATACTGCCTACCGCGATTTAGCTTCCAATATTCGTATTTTATGATTGAACTACCGATACAGATCGGAGAAAGGCAATGTCATGTAGAGAGAAAAAAGAGATGGAGTGATGGCAGAATGTATATATTTTAGTTTAGTGGTGGAATGGGCGGGTGGTGGGGATCGAAAGGAGACGTCGGATATACATGCCCTGCTCTCTAGTGTAAGGGCCGGGTGTCCTCTGCAAGGGACAGTCCTGCATTCAATGTAGTTTGGAAATTACCATATATTAATTTTTTTTATCTATATTGCCAACTTCAAAAGAATTATAAAAAAAAAAACAAATAATTCCAGCCCTAGGGTGATTGATCAATATTACGTACTCCATATGAATAATATCTGATCACAAAAGGTGTATGTATCTGCCTGCCTCTTCATCAAATATATTCCTCAACGACCAGAGAACAAGAAAAATGTGCCTCCAAAAATACAGAATATAATAATAAAATGTTCTTTCTTTCTTCTGGGTGCATGCGGCAACTAATGGCATTACATATATCTACTTCTATCCTCTTAAAACCATTTTTTTTAGTATATATATTCAAGACACCGCCAATGTCTGTCAAATGTAGATATATACCCATATCAATATGATGTCAAATAATCAAGTCATAGAATATCGAGTTTTAACGTGGTTCGATCAAGATAGTTTTATATTTACATGGAGAAAGTGTATCTCAGAGATAATTTCGTTGAATTGTTAGTCACCGTATACCTTACAATGAAACCTACATACAAATATAGCAAAGTAGTGGTTGGGTTTGTCGGATTCGACCCACGAGGTGGTCTCACCTTTGCTCTAGGTAAGTTCTACTCTGATATCCAGGATCCTTTTTTAGCAGAACTCTTAGCCCTGCGTGATGCTATGGATTGGTGTCTAACCCATGGGTTTCTTACTGTCAAATTCTTTGGGGATTCTCAATTGGTGACTCAACGTGTGCTATCCGGGGATCGACATCACTCGATGGGAGGGGCGCTTCTGGAAGACGTGCACAGGATGGCGCAGGAGTTCGAATACTGCTCGTGCTCATATGCTAAACGCATATTAAACAGGGCCGCCCATTTTGTGGCAAAACAAGCCCTTTCATCGGAAGTTCGACTATTGGTCGACTTCCGCACAGCGTTGAGTTCTGTACTTTGACTATGTGACTTTAATTATTCTCTCTGTCTATGTTAAAAAAAAATATATATAGCAAAGTAGTGTACGCTTGGCGTAATGGCGTATGATTTGCTGGAACAAATCGTAATTATACTAGGATTGGTTATTTATATAAATAGGTACCAATAATTGACATATACATCTTTAATATGAAGTATTGTTCGATGCTATATATGATAAAAATGTAATTTTATTTATGTATGATGAGTAGATACTTGTAATTTGTAGGTATAGGTACTTAGTTGTAATTAATTTGATTGTTATGTATACAAGTTGTACCTTGTACCGTTTTCATTCTATATGAGATTTGCATGTTTTCTGACTTCCGCAACCCTAATTCTCAAATCTAACACGGTATCATAGCCGAAAATGGCTCGTTTTCTATGATTTCTTTCAATTATATCGTCTACTCGAATTCCATTTCTCTTAATCTATGATGGCGGCTCGGCAAGCAACTTCAATGATTCCTTCGACGTTAATCACCGTTCTTCCTCAATCAGAATCAGATGCTCGTTCTCGTACCGACGCTTCTTGATGCGGCCGCGACATCGATCTTTACATTTATAGACTCGATCGTCAGCAATACTAGCTACCCCAATCTAGGACAAGTGCACCCTAGAACGTTGAAATAGTTAGTGGTGACGGATGTCGTATTCCAAGGGTCACAGTATCCTAATCTACTTTGGTACGGTTGGTATCTAATCGACCTGTTACTTAGCAGGTGGGCAATTGGCGATTACTAAACTAGGGAACAATAGGAGATAAGGGGTACTCGAGGTGCCTCCCTCGCCCTAACTACAAGTAATGACATGCAAAAGGATAAACAGACGACTTATGGAGATCGAGGCACAGAGATCACTAACCTAGGGATCAACTTAATGGCGATGCAACCGATCCACTAGTCCTATGTCACCTCAGCTAGCTTTACGTTGTAGGGATAATACCTATCTCCGCTAATGGGTTCTACCCATCCTCACATTAGGTCGTCGAGTCGATGGTCACGCACTCGACGTCCTACCATTACCTAGGTGGATCTAATGGGCAAGGGTATGGTCGCCTGGTCCACCACACTAGATTCCTAGATTATTCATCTACTCCTAATTGGCTAAAGCGCTCAAATCTAGTCCAGATCATGCACTCTTAAGTGGTGGGCTACTATGAAAAGAGTTGGAGAGACAAGCCCATGCATAATTAATCATAGTTGAAGCATAAAACACTAGGCAAACTTAATTCATCCATAAACTACAAGAAAGAAGATGATAATTCTCCTAAATACCTAAGTTTCACTAAAATGAGCTCATGCATAGCTTGATCTTTCTCCCGTACTAGTTAGATTTGAGAATTAGCATTGCAGAAGATAGAAGTTTATGATTATAGTATTGGAAACCTGGATTTCTCACATGTTTTGCTCAATCTTGTTTTGCTAGTATTCATAGACCGAACTATTTTGCTAACATTATCTCTCTAGGGTTTGTCATTTGGGTGTATGGGAGTCCAAAACCTAGCTCCCTCCCCCTTCTCTGCTTTCTAACATTTCTGTGTTGTTGCACCCTTTTCTTCTTTTCCTATTCTCTCTCTTGATCTCATAAATGATCCCCTCCCAAAGTTTCAAAAGGGATCATCTTCTTCTACCTATTAGTCTCCAATATAAATGGTACAACCTATTTATACACGGAGCAGTGGGGAAGTCACGGCCGTGACTTTGAGATTTTTGGCCGTGACTTTTAAAACACAGCGCAACAATTAGTGGCAGGGGAAAAGTCATCCTTTTACTTTGCTTGTTCAGCCCGTGGCTTTTGATCAGGCCTATGGAAGTATGTCACAACCTGCATTTCTTGATTCTCACGCTCGTGATTTTCATGTTTGTGGTCGTGAGAATCATTGTTGGCCTTCTTTTGCTCCTTTTTGGTCTCCAAATGCCCCAAAATTTGTTCTCAAACTTTCACCACACTCTAAGACCTTAAATATAGCAAACCAACGCAACCTACCATAAAATTGACAAAGAAAAGGGCGTTCAATACAAATGGTCAAAAAACAATCAAGAAACGAAGGGTAAAACATGTAAACTGAGCACGTATCATCTCACACAACTTTCATGAGTTAAGGTAAGGAGAGAGGCAAACTCCCCGTCTTACCCCGTTTTGGCAGAAAAGAATCCAAATAGGCTTACATGAATTATAAACCTAAACTTGACAATTTCAATACCAGCCTTAATCCAATTTATAAAATGCTTAGCAAGCAGCTATTAGTGCAACCATTGCATGCATTTTTACATATAACATCGTATGCCACGACTCTATACTCTGTTTGACCATATATGCTATACATATTTTCTATATGTTTCATAGATCGTGCACATTTCATTTTAACTATTCAGGAAATTATGCAAAAGTTGCTAGATCGATATATACAATCCATTAAAGAAAATTCTAATAACTTATAGAAATTTCTCTCACAAGATAAAGTCAAGAAATTAGGAATCGTTTGGATAGAGTACTATTTGAGTGAGTTATTTGAGTCTAAATAACTCACAATTTGAATCCAAACAACTTGTTTGACAGCATTTTACTGAGACAAGTTATTTATGCAGCGAGTTATTTCAAAATAACTCAAAACGAGTTATTTGAAATAACTCTTACCCCGTATTATTTCGAAATAACTCATTACCGCTGAAATATCACACGAAACAATTAACAAATTATTTGACTCGACAATTAATCCCCTTATAAACCTGTAAAAGTCTGAATGAGGAGGAGACATAGACCATATAATTCATCCTGGAAAAGGGACACAAACATATAGATACCCATATCTATAGGGATCAGTCATTAGGGTTTATCAGGATTAGGGATCTATCTATCTACATATGAGCTCCCGTTTTGCAGGCAGATAGAGGGCCTTGTACTTTTGTTACTATTGCAAACTAGTAAGAGATCTATGTTTTTTTTAACGGCTGTACTGTGCTGCTGCAGTATCAATCCCATCCCACAATAATTAAAAAGAGAAATTGGAGGGTATTTTTTCCCCGATTCATCATCAACTGGCTATGGTGAAGTCACGTGAATATTTTAAGCAATTTTTTTGTATTTTTTTTGAATATTATTAAGAATTTAGGGGGGCCATATACTGTCTTCATCCTTTGTTTGTTTATATAATGCAACATGGTGATTGTAGGGCTGCCCTTCCCTCCCTCTTCTCTGCCTTTCTGCCATTTCTGCTGCAGCAACCCTTTTCTCTCTCTTGATCCCATATATGATCCCCTCTCCTCTCCTCTCCGGTTTCAAAAGGGATCATATTCTTCTACTCATCGGCCTCCATCTTTTCCTGAACTCCAATATAAATGGTACAACCGCTCATCTTCAAACTGATCATTTAATTTGATCATTCATCCATCGATCTTTCGATCTGCAGCTCCGTTTTTCCATGATCATGAGTACCACTACTACCCAACCCAATTCCTCGAACTACCACCAGTTCCCTCAATATTTCTCCATCGACCTTAACCAGGATCACCACCACCACCAACAACAACAGCAATACCTGCAACAGGCTGCCCATTTCTTCAGTAGTAATAGTACCACAGAACCTGCTGCTGCAGCTTTAGTACCATCCTCTTCTTCTTCTCCTCCTCCTTCTCTCCCGTATCACATCTTCATCGACGTCGAGGATCCCGCCTGTCGCCACGTGGCGGCAGACTACTCGAGCTGGGGGCCGCCTCCCACCTTCCACCAACAGCAGCAAAAGGTAGAAGAAAGAATATGGTTTCCCGTTTTTTTGTTTTTTTGTTTTTGTGTTTTTTTGTAAACCCCACCGCGCGCCCTAATCATTTTGGGTTTTGGGATCCCGTGATCGCAGGCCAATGATACCTACGGTGAGGTGGCGGCGACGGAGGATCGGACCAAGTGGGTGCCTTGTTCTGCTGCTACGACGACGACGACGACGACTAAAGTAGTCAGGATGAGCAAGAAGAATAACAAGTTGACGATCAAGACAAATACTACTGCTGCTGCTGCATATTCTGATCACGGCCGCACCAAAAAGTACTCGGCTTCGGCTTGGGATCCGCAAAAGATGAGTCATGACACGTCGCCATCGACTTTACAGCAGCAGCAGACTGATGAGCGTAACAATTCGCCCTTGAGCAGCAGCGGTGGCGGGGGCGGTGGCGGCGGCAGTCCGACGGTGGTGGTTAGGGTTTGTGCGGATTGCAACACCACCAAGACCCCGCTCTGGCGGAGCGGCCCCCGAGGCCCTAAGGTAACTAAAAAAGTCTAGCCTCCTACTGCCATAACAATTCCTATTACCATTTTACCCCCACCCTCATCACCTCTCTCTCTCTCTTTATATATAAGAAGAAGAAAAGTTAACTAGAGGTAACTAATATAGAAAACCAAAACGGGTCCAGGAGATTACGAATTTGTCGAATTCCAGGCATTTGTTTTGAAATTGAATCTTTCTTTGTGTTTTGGAGTTCGTTTTATTCAATTTTGAATTCAGTGGAATCGAGATAGAGTTTTAGCGACTCCAAGAAATTGGAGGTAAAATTTACAGATGAATTCTGCAGGTATTTTACTAATTACGATAAAAAAACGACATAAATGTATCCAATTATTTTTAAGTAAGTTACTCATATAATGTATAATTTTTTACGCCAATTGTTCAGATCTGCGCGCGCCTGACCTTTCTCGCGCGCGCTCTGTCGCACTACTTAACCTAATATATATAGGCTTCGCCTGGTTCCCTATATACACACACTCTCTTCTATGTGCTTTTTTTCCCCACCGACTTTCACGGTTTCATTCTTTTGCTGAACTGCAACATTATTCCTCATTTTTTTTTGGAAGATCCGACGATAAATCTCATACCATTTACCAACAATAAGTTAGAAAGACAAGGGAGAAAAAAAAAAGACGCCGCCTCAACCTTTAATTTGTTATCACTTACTAGTGCTCTCTCATTTGCTAAATGGCTTTTTAATTTTCCTATGGTGCAGTCACTCTGCAACGCCTGTGGGATCCGGCAGCGAAAGGCCAGACGTGCCATGGCTGCTGCTGCCGCCGCGGCAGCGGTGGCAGCAGAAGGCGGCGCAGATTTAGACACAACAGCACCACTACCGCCGCCGCCGCCTGCTACCACCATAAAGCTGAAGACCGGGAAGGGGAAACACGCCAACAAGAACAAGCTGGCGCCGTCCGCCAACAGCCACCTCCCTTTCAAGAAGCGGTGCAAGTTCGCGGCCCCCCGAGGCAGAAAGGCCACCATTGGCAGCAACAGCAGCAGCAGCAGCAAGAATAAGGTTACTACTACGACGACAGATAACAATAACAGCGATAATAAGCTGTGCTTCGAGGATCTGGTGGCGATACTGAGCAAGAGCTGTTCAGCAATCCAGAGGGTTTTCCCTCAGGACGAGAAGGAAGCTGCCATCTTGCTCATGGCGCTGTCCTATGGCCTGGTCCAGAGTTGAAACAAATTAATGAGTTCGTTTTCCCTTTTTTGGTTTTAGTTTGATTAATAATTTAATAATATTGTTGATTGCTTTTTGTCCCGGATTAATCAAGTGAGGCTGGGATATATAGCAAGCTGGGTTTTGGTAGTAATGGGGGTATTATTAATGAGGGTTTTAGAGCAATTTCAATAATTATAAGGTGATTAATTAGAGAGAGAGTGAGAGAGGATATATGATTAGAAGTGATGTTTGTAATGTACTATGGGATCTCTGGTTCTATGTATTGTGATAGCTAGGATGAGCATTTGAACAGGTTGATAATCACTTGTTCATCTGCATCATTATATGTACCAAGCTTTTGATAAACTCTATATACATATATTCCTTTTGGGTCCAAATCCCTTATTGCTTAGACCATTAATTATGATGAGTCGTGTGAGCCGTTACGCTTTTACGTTTTCAGAGTTATCAAAACGCTTCTACTTAAAGTCCCCGCTTTTCCTAGCTAATGTAGTCCAAATTGTACTTTAAAACTTGATTTTTTTACGTTTTTAGGTCACCAAAACGCATCTGCGTAAAATCACGCTTTTTATTACATTGACCATGAGTGTATTCTATCCTCTCTAGATCAAGCAGTTGCATTCGTAGGTCTTTTAGTGGCGAAAATACCCTTGTTAAGAAAATCATCACGGTAGATCAGATCGTCCATTCGAGTGAATTTGTCGGATGGATCGAAATGTTGGAGAAAGATGTGATTTTCTAAGGTTGATAGATAGAGGGGGGCCCCGGGGTGGGGGTGGTGATGATGGGGGTGTAGTAACGAAAATTGTACCTATGTGTGTGGAGAGAGTCACGAGATCATGGGGAGGGGAGTGAGTTGTTTAGCCTTTAGAGGTAGGCTCAATGACTTATCTAGTATTGAGTGGTCAAGATGTGATCAACACCCATGTCCACGGGACTCCAAGGCCAAGGCTGAAATGGACTTGCTAGCTAGCTTCCAAACTTTGTATTCTCATTTTTTTTTTTTTTTTACATATCTATAGAGTTTCTAGACAGTGCTGGAGCTAGTCATGGTTGAAAATGAAAACTGATATGTGTTTGTGAAAATTCTAACAACCCTCTTTTTATCTGATCTGGTGGTCGTGATTAGGCGAAAACACTGTGTGGGGATATTCGTAGCCGTTTTGTGATCGACATTTGTGCGATAAGTTTGCCTGTTTGAAGGAATCAATATAAGTTTTGGGGTAAATGTAACAATCGTGGCGAGGTCAAGATTTAGAGTAAGATGACATAGAAATAATAGAAAAAAAAAAGAATTGGAATCTGGGAAGAGTGAGGAATATGATAACTCGTCGTTGTGCATGCAAAATGCAACTATTCAATTCTAGTATAATAAATTATGGTAGTTTGGGCCCTTTCGGAGAGTTGGCTTAAACTGAATAAAATTCTCATCCTCGAGCTGGTGCGCGCGCGGTCGACTCAAGATTTTTCCTCTATGACGACCCTCGAGTCAATTGAGAAAAGCTAATTCATTAGCGGGTGTTTCTTTAGAGAGTGAAGTTAGTAGCCAAGAATTTGCTACCTTGTAGTCGGCGTGATTGATGGATTATAAAACTAAATCATGAACCCCGTCAATGGAGCAGACATGGCGCTTAGTGTTTTTAGCTACATGTCATAACAACTGTGTATGGCATATCGTGAGGATACTTACGACTTTTTAGTGGCCAATAACTATAAGAGAGTGGTATAAGAAGAGCGAAACAGAAAAAAGACTCTCAACTTTGCATGTTGTCGAGATAGTCAGGTCAGACACGAATAGTTCTGAAAGTCTTCTCTCGCCAATTCGATCGCGGTATCACGAGACCGCGCACCTAAGGGCACTATATTCCCTCCCTTACTATCAAACTACCAACCTAATAACTAGCTATAGAATGATATATTAAAGATTAGGGTTGTATATATGATTAGAAGCATATATATATATGATGATCAAGTTTCTTGGTGTTCTCTCCCTTCTGACCTCTCTAAGCACAATAGATGGAACATATGGGGTATGTGTAAGTTGGGACATATCAATCATACATAGGGATGATCCAAAAGGACAAGAGGCCAGGTCACAGCTTTTTGTGTGTCTTCTCCACGAGAAAAATCATATGGAGGGGCCGCCGCTTCCGTCCTTGATGTCGTGCGTTGAGACCATTATACATAAATAATAACGAAGGGGGAAATTGGGTAAACCCTAAAACTAAAATGTGAGATTGAGATCAATCTTTGTCTGATTCTGCGACAGACATATATGGTCTATGATTGAATAGTACGTGTGTGAGAGAGGGCAGCGTGTGTGTTCTGTGGTACAACAACATACAGCAGCAACAATGGGTAGGAATAGGATCGTGTGAATGGAAGTTGACGAGTGAAATGATGATCCAGTTGAGGAATAGGAGGGCCCTCAAACCTCAATGGGTCATTTCATTGTTTTTTTTTTTTTTATATGAGAGATGGAATGAAATGTTGTTGATGATCACTACTTGGCTGGTGATTGGAGGAGTGTGGCTCAGAATCATCATGCTCTGGGATTGGAACAAGCTAGGTGAGAGGTTTTGTAGTCCAATTCCAACGATCACCATTTCTTAAGTACATAGTATTCGGATCGGTGCAAATTTTAATCTCACATGAGTAGGCTTTCGTTTGAGAGGACATTATGTTAGTAAATGGTATAGATCCATAATTGAACATGTCTTTCAACATCTTGAATGGTTGAACCAACAGATTATGACATGGTATAAGAGTCTTCGATGACCAACATGTCTTATATATAAGTTGACTTTCGATAATTGAATCTTCTAACAACTTGAGTTATTGAGATCATCTGGGTTTTTTTTTACAGTGGGAGGAAAAAAAATTAACATTTATTTGTGTAACATGTATTATTAATTAGTTGGGGTTTGGTGGATCCAAAAGTGTCATATATGTTAGATGTTCTGGAGCATCACCACTCGCCACCAAGAGCTTTGAGACTTTCGAGTAGTATTATGCAAAACTCAGGATGGATCATTGTACATTCTGAACAAAGTCGCCTTGAGTCCATTTTTATGAAATGTTTTGTGTTACTAGGGTCTTTGTACAAGTTTGAAGTTTCTCTTTCGGGGCGAAAGTTTTTTTATGCATCTCCTATAAAATTGTTTAAATTCATATGAATGAATATGTATTTACTATTGTGTAAGTATTGTAATGAATGTGCTATAGAATAAGGATCTGCATAAAAGAGTGTTTCTTTAGATGAGAAGCACAATGAGATTAAATACAAGAGCATGCTTTGAACTGAATGAGTGAAGAAGAATTAAGCAATCGAGTTCGTCTAAATGGTAAAATCCCTGGACAAACAATAAAGTATTGGGAGTTCCAAATGAAATTTTTATCATCACTTTTTTACTATTGTTCTACTAAAGAAAGACTTCTAGACCAAAACTCAGCTTTTCGATTGGAGCAAAATTTGAAACCCTCCATTTCTAACTCTGAAATTAACTTTGGACGAGGATGGACATCCATGGAGCAAAATCGATGCACCTTTTCTTCTCCACCATGACTAGCAGGATTAGTCCCTTATTAACTCCACAAATCTCCCTTGTTGTAGTTATAATAGTTGGCGCATCCTCTGTCGTGATGCTGGGGATATGAGAATGAAATAAGAAATTGATAAATTTAAGTTACAAGTCGGAGATAAATCAGAAATCGAAAGTAATTGGATGATCATGTTCAGTCGAGGAAGAAAAGATGGATTCCAAAGTGCTATTGTGATTTGGTTTATTCAATCCTTTGTTTATCAAGGAGGCCAAAACAAAGGATTTTGCCAAGAGGAGGAAGGTGAGAGAAAATGAGATAATGTAAATTGAGTCAGCAAATTTTCAATTAGATAATCATTATTATGTTTAAAGACGAAAAATATAACGGTGCAATTGAAAATCTACTTATTTGATTTAGTTGCAACTTAAAAAACAACTTAGCCGATTAGTATGCAACTAAAAAGTACAACTTGCATATTGTCCGGTGTAATGAACCCGTGCCTGTGCGATATTGAGATATTGAAAGTTGAAACCCAGCCATTGTCCGCGGCACTATTTTGGGCCAAAAACATAGACCAATGACTGGGACTCCCTTTTTTGGGCCTAATTTATCATTTCCACGAACTTTGGGCTTAAAGCTCAACTTCTTCGCAGCCGCCCGCGACTCGAGAGATGGTCTCTCTTTTTTCTTCTTGAATATGTTTCTTGAATCTTGAAAGAAAAATGGAGCCGCGAAGAACATAACTCCTGCAACAAGTAAAACCAACGAATTGGTTACCGAAGCAGCACAGAAATCAGCATTATCTGGTAATCGTTGTTAGCCAATTACAGAAGAAGAGAACCCCCACCAACCTAATAAGCAGAGAGGGAGAAGCCGGAATCCGTCTCTTGCGCGCGTACTCATTTCCGCCCCATCTGTCCAAGTACACCTCGGACCTCCGTTCGCCGGACAATGGCCGGTTCCGAGTCTCAATACGCACCGGCGTCCACTCCAAAAGAGCCCCTCTTGAAGCGGCTTAAGGGCATTTGGCGCTTCTCCATGATCGTCAACTTGGCTGTGGGAGGTCGGTCAGCTTTCACTGCTTCCTCTCTCTTTTTTTGTTTGTTTCCCCTTTCATCCAAATCCCTCTTCCTACTCCTTCTTCCCTCTCTCGAATGTCTTGCTTTGCTGGTGCACGTATGCATATCTGATCCTTGCCTTCTTCAAATTAGTGATTAAACTGATTGGTGGTGAAAGAAAATTAAGGATCTTGGGTTGTGGGTTTCCCTGATTTCATTTTGCCCACAATGTGTTCGATGTATTGTCTCTCTGACGCTTTTGGTTAAAACCAGTTGGCGTTCGGGCAGTTGTTGTTAATGCAGCGGTTCCATTTGTCTTCATATCTTATGGGTGCATTACAGTTTCTGGCCTTTGTGTCCATTCCTGATACTTCGTTCCGATTGTTGCTGTCCGTTTTTTTTTTTTTTTGGCATTTCTGTAGCTGGCGGAGGAGCTAGTTGTGCCCAGTTGTTCCATGCTTTTCTGTCTACATGTCGCTGGACGTTTGGGCCAAAACTGCGGTGTTTTGTTATGATTTGCTTCCATGCTTCCTCCACTGAGGATAGGATAGGATATTCTTCTGAACCAATGCCTGCTTGATGATATCCGAAAGGGTTCTAACAGGCTGGTTTTTTCTCCAACGGGTTGCATGCAGCTTACATCTTCGCTCATGCTGGCAAGAAAAACGGGGGGAAACATGTGGAGAATGTCGAGAAAGCAAAGCCCGAGTCTTTGCTGGAAGAATACTCTGATCCTTACGACTCCATAGTCGAGAAATTAACTCCTCTCCATAGGGAGCCAATATCTGAAGATCAGCAGCGTGAGCTCTTCAAGTGGATGTTGGAAGAGAAGCGGCAAATGAAGCCTAGCGATCGTGGAGAGAAGAAAAGGGTTGATGAAGAGAAGGCCATTCTCAAAAAATTTATCGGCGCCAAGACAATTCCGAGGATTTAATTCAGAAGTGTCTGTTCTGACTTTCAACAGGATGCCACTTTTACTACGAGGCATTGATTTGTTGAACACGAATCATTCTAACTCGATTTCAATCCAGCCATGTGTCTTTTAAACTTCATTGCCCAACTGCCACACATGAACGTATTGATTGAAGTTCCATTGGTTGTTGTAAATTCTCTGTCGTGTTCATGTTTATCTACCATGTGGAAAGTGGGAATATACCTGTTTGGCGAGTATGAACTTTTACCATTGCAGTGTCATATCCAGAGCTCAAGTTGGTGGCAGTATCTCTCTTGTCCACCATTAAGAAGCTGGGGTAGTTTCCTCTAAGGAGATTGGGGAGTTTTGAGCTGATGGAGGGAATTTTTCATAGATGGGACATTTTCTCAAACAGTTGGAAGGCACGAACGAACGTGGTCACTAGAACATATGGATAAGCCAAAAACGGACCACAAATTCCAGAGAGCTAAAGGCAAACGGCATAGATACAAGTTTTTAGGCACATAATTTCATCTTTTGTAGTTTTAACCCTCTATTCGTTTGGCCTTTTATGTGTATCCAGGGAATTGCCTAACGGTTGAAATCAAATAATGGAGGCAGAAGAAGTGAGACAAAACCAAAAGATTTGGGCTTTGGTTTTCCCTTTCTGAAAGGTTAACTAACTTGAAGCACAGCCACACCCTCAAAATGTTCCATCCAGTGCAGTGGTTGGTTCGAATCTTTTTCCAGAATCGATTCCCATCGCTTCTGAATTCTTCTGCACAAGCACAGGGCTAGAGTTCGAAGGTCTCCAAAATAATGCCAGGATCCATCCAAGTTTCAGGTACTATCTAACACTAATTTCCTGCCTGAAAGCTCACAGAACTTTGGCAATTAACTTGTTCTTCTGAAATTGTTATGAACTGCAGTTCTAGAGTTCATAGATCTGCAATCCTTGATTCCTTCCAATCAAATATACGTCAAAGGTGCAAACTTTAGTTCTCTTCTTTCATCTTGTTCAACATTTCAATGTTTAATCAGAGAAGTGGTGTAATGGGTCTTTCTGCTATAATGCAGTTTCCCTGGGGAAAAGGGAATACCGAACTTTGAACAAAGGCGACTTCTCTTTGTATTCTTCGGAAAACCCATCTCGAGTTTCTTTCTCCACTTTTGAGTAAATTCTTTTTGCTATTGTGATGAAGCTTTTTCCCCCATACAGCCCATTGACAACTCTCCGGGAAAATGTCATTGTCACACTTCAGGACTCTGATGGAAATGAAATCTCCCATACAGGTTTGGCAGTTTGAATGGTCTTATTTCCAGTTGGTTACATTAGCTGTAGCTAGAGATCTTGATTTCTACCAAGTTGTGAGGCTTAATACAGTTTGATTTGCTCTGGAATTCTTGAGTGAAAAAAGGCGTGGAGACGAGGTTGCTGATTCAGAAAGGGACCTGGGATGACATGTTCCCTCTAGATGGTGGTGGGCATATCCACTTGAAGCTTCGGTTTGTCCTCACCGAAGAAGATCGTGAAAGAATCAGAGTCATGGTACTAACGTTTATATACTTGCAGAGCTAAACTGGGAAAACGCAAATGATGCTTTTCATGGTGCCATTGTTAATGTTTATACTTTGTTGACAGAGAGAAACTGCATTGAGAAAGAAACATGATGAACTTGTTAGCAGCGGAAGCAGAAGTGTGGTGAAGTATGACAAAGGAGCGGTTTCTGCGCAGAAGAATCCAAGCCCAGTTAAGGATTTACTAGAATGCAAAAATTTTAACTGTTCTTTTCGTGGTGAAGGCAGGAATGAAAGCTAGCCTTGATTATTATTCTAATGATATTCCACCTGTTTTAGAATGAAACAGACAGATGCAAGGACACTGCTTCATCCGCCCATGTAAAGGAAGTGAAAAAGGAGAGATCGGTAGTCTTCTCAACTGAAGGATCCATTGGAACAACCATTTCAACGAGGCAAAATCCTACGAAGAAAGTTCATGGTAGTGTGAAGAACATGATTAGTGCCTTTGAAAGTAGTGTGCATCAGGTAGTTTTGTTCAAGTGCTATTGAGGTCAATTCTTGCAAGCTACGCTTAGTAAACAGCTCTCTCATTAACGTAAGTTATTTGTTGAATCAGGATATGAGGACTAAAGTAAGACAACAAATGACAAAATCACAGTCAGTCAACAACTTAGTTGTTGTTCCTTCCTCTGAATCCAAGTTGCAGAAGGTTAGATCAACAGAGTCACTTTCAGAAAAGCTTGGCAGTACTTTAAGTCAGCACAATGGAGCTGGTGAGATACACATGATGGAAGAGAAAACAGTTTCTGAAGATTTGGCAAAAAGAACAAGTACAAGTTATTTGTTGAATCAGGACACGAGTAGTAAAGTAAGACCAAGCATGTCAAAGTTTCAGCCAAGCGACAGCCTAGTTGACGTTCCTTCATCGGAGGGCTCAACTTTGGGATCCAAGACACAGAAGGTTCGGTCAATTGCTAATGAGATCCTTGTCAATGAAGAGAAGAAAGATTCTGAAGATTTGGTTAGATGGGAAACTGCATGTGAGAGGGCTTCTTTCTCAGGGGCCATCCATGATCACCACAGTGACTCATCATTAGCTATGAAAAAGCATTCCGGTAGTCCTATGGTCACTAGAAAGAGTGACAGCACAACTTACAGAAGAGGTTCACTGGAAACTTTGTGTGATGAAGTTTTGGGAGATGATCGTCGTTCCACTGAATGTTCCGGTGCATGGATATTTCCTGATCAAGGTAGACGCTTGTGTGTTTCAACTGCTGGCAAACAGGTGCTGAATGTAATTGGTGGTTTCTGGTCTGAACTCGAAAGCACATTATGTCCAGGAAACATTATCAGTCCTGTAGTGGAAACCCAAATAGAGGTATGTGTATATTCTCAAGTATATTGCTTATTAGTCTCCTCATTAGTATATGCAACTTAGCACAGAAGGTATTTGCTTACTTAAATACCCAACTCCCAGCATTTTGTTCACGGTGACACTGGAATTCCTCCCAAAGAGAATGGAGATCTCGGGAGAGAATCAACTACCAAGGAAGGTTCAAGAGATGCCGAAACTCCAAGAGGACCCCTTAGACAGGTCTCATCTGCTCCCATTTTGATAGAACAAAAGGCCATTCTTTTGTCCATTTCCTTGTATTTGGAAATTCATGAACGTTGCAACATTATGCAGGTGATGAGAGTTGCAATCATGGTTGGGTTCACAGCACTTGTTGTGTTTACTAGACAGAGAAAGCCAGGTACTGCTATTTTTCCATCCTTTTGCCAAGCTTATCCAAAGAACCGAGATCATCATGTCCATTCGAGATTCCTCCTCGATCTTGTTCCAGAAGTGACAAAGTCGGCTTGATTTTGGTTCATGCTAAAGAGATGAAAGCATGGATTGACAACTTGTAGGAGACGGTTTTAGTTTCATGATCCATTCTTCTTGAAATGATTTGCCTGCCTGAATTTTGCCTAATACTTGTGGTCATTTGGGTGGATGGTTGCTGCAGATAGATGAGATGCAGCAAATGCTGGTGATAGGAAGGCCATGGAGCGGAGACATCCTTGACTATTTTTGGTTTATTGATGCTTAGAACTTAACAGTCGTTTGTATTTTGCCACAGATATGTAACATCTTCAAGTTCATGGTACTCTTGTTGAAAAAATACTTTACAACTATTCTCCCTGGGCACGTTATGGAGGAAAACACGAATAAAATTCTTTTCTTCTTCGTCTATCTTCCTGCTCACTTTACATAAACCCGTATTTTCCATACGTAATCATTATCGTAATGTACGTTTCACATCTCTTTTCTCTAATTTGATTCTATCTCAAACTAAATTAGTGTTTCTAAATTTTACCTCTGAAAAATAAAAAAATTCGTGCTAATATTTGATGTTATGAAGTGGATCAAAACAATATTAACACTAGGACTCCAAAATCTCACTATATCCACCCTCAGATATAACTGTAGGTATTATAAAGTCAACTTCAATTCAACCTGTGGAATATTTTCCCTAAAAAAAAGTAAAAAGTGACCAAATTGTAAATTTCTAGAGGAAATTTTTTTTCGAACGCCTCGAGTTTCCGCCCTAGTCCTAAACCCCCCAAACGCTCTCCTTTCTCTACTTCCCCGCTTTTCTTCTTCCTCCGGCCCTGGTTGCTGCTGCTTCTGAGAGATCACTCATGGCGTCTTCCGCTCTCGCTCCTCCTACTCCTCCTCGCTCAGGTAAAAAACTCCACTATCCTTCGTCTTCCCAATCAATTCCGTCTTCTGAACTTTCTGTATTTCGCTCTCGGTGCCCACTGGATTCGTAACTCCAAAATGAAAACTTGAAGCTTGTCTGTGACGAACGTATAAGATTGAACCCCAACTTATGGCCCGTTCAACAATTATTTTGTTCTGGCAACGCATTAGTTAATGCCTCTCAGTTCTGCAGCTCCGTCTTCGTTAGTGCTGTTTCCTTACTGCTAGACATTGCCCGGCTCCATTGTATATCAAGAAATTATGTGCTAGATTTGGTTTCATCTCCCCACGGATTCCAGTGCTGGAATTGAGCTTGGGGTTTCTCATTGGGCATTTTTTGATGCTGTAATGGTTTTCTTTTTTACGCTGCTCGGAAAGCGGGGTCGTCCCATTTGTTTGTTCTATAAGTCACTGTTTGATATCGTTCCTACCAGGGAGTTGTGGTGAAGATCAGAGCATGCTGTGTACTGCCGCTTTTGGGACTTCCTGTGGAGCGGGTTTTGATGTCCCAACTACCCATTTAGAAACGCAATACAAGAAAAGAAGAATATCGATTGACAGGGGCTTGAGAGAGGCAGAAGCTTCGCTGCCCATTTTAACCGCATCAGACTATTACATTGAGCCTTGCTTGGCTGATTTGGCCGCCAGGGAAGTTGCAGATCCTGGTTATTGCGGTCGAGTATCAAATTTCACGGTTGGGAGGTTTGGTTATGGTTGTGTCAAGTTTCTGGGAAAAACTGATGTTAGGTTGTTGGAAGTTGATCCCATTGTAAAGTTGTACAGACATGAAATTGTTGTATATGGGGATGAAAGTGTCAAGCCTGCAGTTGGTCTGGGGCTCAACAAGCCTGCTGAAGTAACTCTGAATTTGAAGATAAGACCTTTAAACCCAAATAAAGAGCAGCTCCTAGATCTTGTGGAGAAATTGAGAAAGAGCATGGAGAGGCAAGGAGCTCGCTTTATTTCGTTTGACCCCAAGAGTGGTGACTGGAGGTTTTCAGTCCAACATTTTAGTCGTTTTGGATTGACTGAAGATGATGAAGAAGACATCACAATGGATGATGTTGAGGAAGTTCACGATCCTTCCAGGATGAATAATGATGCAGAGATTCCGGAGGAGACTGGGGAAGCCGAAGAAGAAATTGAGCCTATGCTTTATCATTCTCTTCCAGCACATCTTGGCCTTGACCCTAGAAAGATGAAAGAGATGAAGATGTTAATGTTTCCATCTGAGGATGAGGATGGGGTAGAAGATTTGAATGATCTCTCTTATCCCAAGTCGTCCAGAAGTAAAGAACACATGAAGCGTTCGTTGCTGAATGCCTCGCAGAGGACAAGTCACAGATCTAGTCCGCCTGCAGTTAGGAAAACTCCATTGGCTTTGCTCGAGTACAATCCCGCTGGTGTTGACTCTACTTCTCCTGGAAATATATTGATGGCCCAACAAAAGATAGCATTGCCTTTAAAACCAATTAGAGGTGAAGGCTTCAAGATCAACCTGGACCGCCAGACACCTGTAACTGGAAGCCATTCTCGCAACATAGTTGACGCTGGTTTATTCATGGGCAAATCATTCCGTGTCGGATGGGGCCCAAATGGTGTTCTTCTTCATTCTGGTGCTCCTGTAAGTAGTAAGAGCTCTGAAAGATGGTTATCGTCTGTCATAAATGTCGAGAAAGTTAGCATTGACAAAGTGGTTAGGGATGAAAATGATAAAACCAGAAAGGAACTTGTTGACTGTGCTTTTGATGCCCCTTTGAATCTTCACAAATCGTTAAGTCATGATATAAAACAAGTTCATGTAGGGTCATTTACACTGAAACTTCAGAAGGTGATCATTAATCGGCTGGCTCTTGCTGAAATTTGTCGGAGTTATATAGATATAATTGAGGGACAGCTGGAGGTTCCTGGATTGTCTTCATCCTCACGTCTGGTTTTGATGCACCAAGTCCTGATCTGGGAATTGGTGAAAGTTCTTTTCTCTGAAAGGGAAAATGGTGGGCGACCAAATCCTTTGGGTGCTGACAATGAGGAAGACATGATGCCAGATGTTAAAGAAGGGTCTCCAGAAATTGACGAGGAAGCACTTCCTCTTATTAGGAGAGCAGAGTTCAGTTGTTGGTTGCAAGAAAGTGTATGTCATCGTGTTCAAGAGGATGTGAGCTCCTTGGACGAATCAAGTTATCTAGAACACATCTTCATACTCCTTACTGGGAGACAGCTTGATGCAGCAGTCGAAATGGCTGTTTCCAGAGGAGATGTCAGATTGGCGTGTTTGCTTAGTCAGGCTGGTGGATCAACTGTTAATCGTACTGATGTTGCACGACAACTTGATATTTGGAGGACCAATGGACTAGATTTCAATTTTGTCGAGAAGGAGAGGACAAGGATCTATGAGTTGCTTTCTGGTAATATTCACAATGCTTTGCAGGGTGTTCAAATTGACTGGAAACGATTCTTAGGGTTGCTGATGTGGTATTGCCTATCGCCTGACACACCATTGCCTGCTATTTTCAAAAATTACGAACTCCTCCTTGGTGAAGGTAAAGCTCCATATCCTCTTCCAATTTATCTAGACGAAGGACCGGTTAATGAGGAAATGGAGGCTACAGAAAAGAACTTTGATCTCACATACTATCTCATGCTTCTTCATGCCAATGCGGAGGGTAAATTTGGCTCTCTGAAGACCATGTTCAGTACTTCTTCATCAACATATGATCCGCTAGACTACCATATGATTTGGCATCAAAGAGCAGTGCTGGAAGCAGTTGGTGTCTTTACTTCTAATGATCTTCAAGTGCTTGACATGGGAATTGTTTCCCAGTTATTATGCACTGGACAATGTCATTGGGCGATCTATGTGGTGCTTCACATGCCACAATGTGATGATTATCCTTATCTCCATGCTACTGTAATTCGGGAAATTTTGTTTCAGTATTGTGAAACTTGGAGTTCAAACGAATCACAATACCAGTTCATTCAGAACCTTGAAATTCCATCAGAGTGGCTTCATGAAGCTATGGTATAGTTTATTCCTCCCTGATGTTTCTCTCCTCGCCTTAAGCATGCATATAAAAACAATTGAAAATTTAAATTGTGTGTGTTGATGTACACACTCATGCATATGGAATCTCTTGATTAGCAAGCCTAATATTGTCCAGATAAAGCCTTAATCAAACTCAGACTAGAAGAACTATGGTAGTCTTGTTAAGTTGTTGTCAGGTTAATTGTGTTGACGGTTCTAACCCTCTTATGGGGAATCAAGTGTTTCCTTGTCTGTTATAGTCATGTCTTTGTTTATGATTACATGCGGCCTTATCAAATAATACTCAACCTAGAACAGTTGCAGGTGCTCCTGGCTTCCTACAAGTTTGTCTGTCCATGGATGATTATATGTTACAGTTTCAGATTATAGGTGGAACAACACAGTGTTACTATATGTCCATGAAACTGAATCCGGATGCAGAGTAATTACCTGAAAAGCTCCATGCATCCAGCTCTAGCTTACTTTGTCTGAGTTTCATCTTGGTTAAATGTTGAGAAAAGCATTAAATACTGCTGTTATAGTCTTGCTGCTGTTGAACAAATGAAAATAATCTTCAAATGCATTTTCAGTCACTGGAGCACGTTCGAAAGCTTTTGGGTTTGGAGAATATAATATTCACTTGATATTCACCATGAATCTTGTTGCATTAAATAAGATTTCTTTTGTAATGCAGGCAGTATATTTTAATTACCAAGGGGATCTATCAAAGGCTCTTGAGCACTTCCTTGAATGTGCACACTGGCAGAAGGCTCATTCTATTTTTACATCTTCAGTCGCTCATACACTGTTTTTGTCTGGTAATATATGCATCCAGGAGTTGCGTACTGCGTGCTCCAGTGTACTTCTTGTGTATATGAACTTGTGGCATGGATATTTTTGGGATACGCGAACATTTAACACAAAATTGGTTGCTGGGTTTTCGTAATCTTTCTAGTGAGCTAGTTTGACTGTTGCTTATGAGGGTTGTTGTTATATTTATAATATAGGCGAGCATTCAGAAGTTTGGAGGCTTGCTACTCAAATGGAGGAACAAAAATCTGAAATTGAAAACTGGGACTTGGGAGCTGGAATCTATATTTCCTTCTTGCAGCTTAAAAGTTCATTCCGAGAGGACAACGATACTATGAACGAACAGGTACCAATGTTTGCAATTGATATCCATGATTCAGGTTGTTTTTCCTCGGATGCAAGCAATTTTGTTGACTGAATTGGCCTGCTGAGGCCATTCCATTGAAAAGACAATAGGCATGGCAAAGATCCTAGGCAAAACTCAGTTGTGTTTTCAGTTACAGTATTAAACTGCTGAACCTTCAGATCCAATCAAAATTCGTTCACTAAACAATATACTATGTAGATGAGTTCTATACTTTTAATCATAACTTAACAGTATGCATATGCCAACTGAAGCCTTGCCTGGGTGCTAATTTTTGCAGGATTCTCTTGAGAGCAGGAATTCTGAATGCAGAGGCTTCCTTAGTCAGCTTAATGAATCTCTAGAGACTTTGGGTGATAGATTGCCAACCGATGCAAGGTATAACTTCATTTTCAACATTCCAATCCATAATTTCTCAGCCTCTTAAACAATCACTCAGCTGTGGATGCTTGACACCTATTTGACTTAATATGCACGATATGCAATGTGCGTTTACTTCTAAGATCATCATCCCGTGAATGACCATTGAGACGTTGGAGATTGACAAAATGTGCATGCTGTCAATCATATTAGTGGAAACCAAAAACTCTTAATCTGAAAAGTAGTGTCTTAAATTGCATGTGCCGCAATTTAGCAGTAAACTTTGGCCGGTCTGAGATGGGAGCGGAGGGGTTCATCTTGTATTTTGTATGGATTCCTAGTTATTCATTACGGGTATGGATGTGGGTGCAGGATTGCGTACTCAAAGATGGCTGAGGAAATATCTGAGTTGCTGCTATCAATAAGTAGTTGGGGAGAATCACGGGATGCCCAGTTGAGCTGCTTTGAGACTGTTCTTACAGCTCCCGTCCCTGAAGATCTTTGCTCGAACCATCTGCAAGATGCTGTGTCGCTCTTTACGTGTTATCTCTCGGAGATGGCCACTCAACCCATCTAGGCTCCAAGCTTTGAGATTCTAGCGTCTTGATGGCCACGCAATCCGTCTAGGCTCGAAGCTTTGAGATTCTAGCGTCTCACCAGGTTTCCTTCGTATGTGTGCCAGGAGTTGGGACTTCACGATATGATCTTCATTCCTTGATTAGCAAGTTTGCAGCTTTTTTCTTGAATGAGCAAGCTCATGTTGTCGTAACTCAAATTATTAACATCCAAACCTTGTTTGATTGTGAAAGAAGAGGAAATGTTACTTGACAGGAGGCTACGAAAATAGGAACGAAATTTTGTGAACAAGAGAAAGCTGAACATCAAAATTGGATTAGATATAGCATACAACATATATTTGGCACACGACAGTACATTGCTATGCAGCTTTCTTGATTCTCGAATCTCTGACACTCTCAGTAAGGCAAGTCAAAGTCAGATGCGTATAGCACTACATTCAGAACTAAGAATTTCTACTGCCGCCAAAAAGGGCCTTGAATCACTCCCTAAGTAGCAACCGGCTTTCCGTTTAATTTGGGAAAAGGATCTTGCTTGCTCAGCACTACAACCTTGCTCTTGTGGGCAAAGTAACCTTTCATAAGGTTCTTGTATATCAAAATTGCCACTATGCACTCCACCTACAAATAGGTACAGAACAAAACACTTAAGTTAGCGAGCATAACATAACTCTAGAGAAGGGATGAACGCAAGTGGAGAAGTGGAATTTGATAAGACCATATACGTCTTTAAGTACCTCGTCCAAGTCCATTTCAATCTCGAGCCATTTTAATGCTTTAACAATCACTTCCAACTTCATTTGGTGAGCTTTGCTGGGGTCCTTTAGCTTTTGGATGATGTAGCTATGGAGATTATGCTGGGTCAGTACCGTGGAAGGATCTGCTTCGGCTTATCATCACCATGGTGTATAAAGGGGACAAAACAAAGGGACTTACATTTTCTTTAGTAATCTTTGATAAACTTGAAGCTCTAGCTTCTCTAGGACAAGATAAACTCCTGATCGTAGAAACCTACAAAGAGAACGAAGCAGAAGCTAGATTAGCTTTAACGGCAAATACAGGCTTCCAAAAAATTTGAACTTTTACACAAGGCTGCGAAAGGCCAACATACTGATCTTCATTCTCTTGGAGAGCACTTCGAAGCAGTCGGAGATCACCTCTCTTTAGTGCTTCCACAATATTGTTGTACTGTCACAGGGAACACCAAGGTATTAGAGCATTCCAATTGAAGAAGAAAAACGCTTCAGCCTGGATACTACCAAATTCTTGAAAATGCTATGCCTAGCTTTAAAAAAATCTCAAGTTCTTGAATAATCTAATCCATTTCCTAGGTATCAAGGAAAGGGCTAGTAAACCAAGTTATGGAACGAGAAAGGAGTTGTACCTCAACTAAGTTATAGTTTTCAATGAGCTGTTTCTTTGGTAAAATGCCTATTGAAAGCTTCACTGGTATCAAGTATTTCAGTATCATTCTGACACGCACACAAAAAGATATCAGGAAAATGATAAGAGGAACCACAATCACCAAGTACAGTACAGAGAGCCAACAAACCGTTGACGCTTGAAGTGCTAAAATATCATTGGATTCATAACAAAGCAGCAAGTGCAACAAACCAAACCTTATATTTGCTTCTTTGTTGAGACTGCAATGTGTTAAGGCATAGGACAGCTTTTGATCTGCCTGCAGGGTCAAGATAATTACAATTTGAAATGAATCAATGTGTTTCTCAGCTTCTAGATGGCTAACTAATAGCATCTAATCTATATTCTAAAGTCCTGATTTGTTGACATCACATGGAGAGCACAACTAATTGCAATAACCATTACGCTCTGAAACCATAAATGCGTAAGACAATATTTTGATTACGGATTTAAGATCTAAATTACAATTTATGAGCTAAAGTCTGTATCTGATTGCACATCTCGAAAGTGAAAAGCCCCTAATAGAGATAAAAGTTGGCAGATGTTCAAGGTGCTCACAGCTGGGAAATTTTCATTGAGAACTTCCAGACGGCCAGTGTAGTACATGTAAGTGACCTGTCATTGAGAAGGCAAGACTTCAGGCAAATAGTGCACAAAACCTTCAGGAGAAGCCTAGGAACTCAAACACAACAATCATAGAACCAGGTTTCTCACCTTATCCCTCGTAGGGAATTCCTCAAAATCAAATATTCGGGCAGTTTCAATACTTCTTATCACACTACGGCAAAGATGAACTGTGCCAAGCTGCAAACCAGTAACTGTTAGAATTCCGGCATTTCCTACAACTTTATGTTCAAGAACTCCCAAATGAAAGAAAGACCAAAGGAAAAACTTAAATGCTGCAAACATCTACACTAAACAAGAGAACAATAAGCTATTACCTTAAAGTATATTTTGAACAACTGACAAGTTACATACAGTGCTCCTACACGCTTCGGGCCTTTCCCCTATAGATCACAGGATCCATTAAATTAGTAACAACCAATAAAACAATTTCTTCAGCATAAGACATTGTAATTCTGATCCCTTATATCATCTGAAAGCTGCAGAGCAGGGTGGTGGAAAGGGAGAAGCATACAGCAAGAACACCGAACACTTTCATGAGGAATGACCCCGCTCCCTTCAATTTCTCCGGCGATTTTCCATTTGAAGCCAGCTCTCTATCTGCCTACAAATATCAAGAATTTTTTCACTCCTTCACTTCACTTGATGAATAACAAGCACAGGATACCGAATGATTCCAAGTTCTGAAAACTCAAATTCATCATACCCTCTCCGCAAGAACCCTTATCTCATAAGCGATGACATACAGTGCCTCCAACGCCCAACCCGATTCCCAGTTCCGGAACTCCTGTATAAAGGCACTGAATCCACACCATCAGCAAAGAAGTATGAAACATCAAACTGAAAGTAAGAAAAAGGGAAAAGCAAAAGGAAGAAGGATTGAAAGAGAAGTCACAAACTTGGAAGCTTTCTCAAATGCTCCGTAAGCATCAACCAAGTTGCCAAGTCGATAGCTTTGCAGTGAACGAAAGAAAGGAGCAACCACTTCCCCATATTGCGAGAATTTCTCCGATTGCTTTATCAGTCTATTAGCATCCTAATAGCGATGAATTCAACAGAAAGAAAACCCCAATTCACAATTCGGAAACCCCATATTATTAAGGGAGGAAGCAAAACCTTTTCCCCATTGTGTTCAAACCTGGAAGACGTTGAGAGCGTCAGCGAGCGAGAGGAGAGAGGGGGTGTCGGATGAGATAGAGAACAGCCGAGCCAGAGAATCTCCATCCTGGTAGTTGATAGCGTCGGCGAACCTATTGAGGTAGTCGGTGATTCTTCTGTGTGATTCTCCCATGCTCAAGTACGCCATTTTCCCTTGCTTGCTTCCTTCTTTGCTTTCCCGTCAGTAACAGTCGCAGAAGGCGGTCTTGAGTTGGAGTTGCTACTTTCTCCGCTCAAGTTTCTGATTTGGGGTTGTTGCCGAGGAAAAAATCCCACAATACGCGAGTTATTAAAAAAAATTCCCTAAATACGGTACTTATAAAAGTAATTCTCAAAATACAGCAGTTTCAACATCACTGTTTTAGACAAAGACAGTGATGTTGATCACCGCTTTTGTCCAAAACAGTGAAGCAGCGGGGAACGCATCACCGCCTTGGACGAAAGAGGGGAATGCATCATCGCTGTGGACAAAAGCGGTGATACGTTCCCCGTTTTTGTCCAAGGCGGAGATAGTATCCCCGCTTTTGACAAAGGCGGGGAACGTATCCCCGCTTTTGACATCAACAGTGAAGGCATCACCGCTGCTGTCCACAACAGTGATTGCCCCCACGTTTTACATAGCCCTGGTAGGTGGAGAGGTAGGTAACAGCTACCTAGCTATCACCGTTGTTGACTAAGGCGATGATGTGTTCACCGCCTTGGTCCAAAGCGGTGATTAGCTCTCAATTTTTCCTATAAAAACCCACGCCCTCTTCCCTCCTGCTGCCAAACAGCAAATTAGTACAAAAATTATCGTTTTGTTAAGTCGTTTTCGCAGCTGGTTCCTCCGTAGTTTACTGCTCAAGAAACTCGTCGGGATTCGGTATGTTAGAATTATGTATTGTTTACATTTTGATTATGTGCTAGAATTAGGTATGTTAGAATTATATATTTAGATTAATTCTGATATGATATATGTTAGTTAGTTAGTACTGAATTTAGATTAATGTGTTTAGTTTTCTCATGATAGATCGGGATTGAGTATGTTATAAGTATGTATTTTTTACATGTTGATGTGTTAGTAATTATACTGTCTGTATTTAGTGAATTGCGGTTATTGGAAAATATGTTATGATATTATTTAGTTTAATTATGATATGATAGATGTTAGTTAGCTAGTTATGAATTTAGATGAATTTGTTTAGTTTTCTCATAATAGATCAATTAGTTGCATTTTATTATCGCTTTGGATGATATTGTTTTTGTATCCATAATGTACTAATTATATACTATACTTAATTATTATAAATTGCAGACATGGGTAAATTTAAGAAGTTTCGGCTTATTATTTATTGGAATGGTCGGGTGACAAACTCGAACATTGGGATCGACTATGAAGATGGCGAATCCAGTATGCTTACAATTGAGTCGAGATTCTCGTGGCAAGAACTCCATGACAGGTGTGCAAAAAGGACTTGTACGGGCGGGCAAATGAGAGTTCGTCAAATTACTTACCGGTATCCCAACATGAGTGCTGACGGAGTCATGTACGAAAAAGTTGACATAAATGATGATGACGACGCGAACATGATGACACAGTTCATATCTGAGAACGGGGTGCGGCTTGCAGAGGTGTATGTCGAGACCGAGCCGGTCGGTGAAACTCATTCTCACCAGTATTCTTATGATGATGGTTTTGCAGGAGGGTATGACTGGGGTGGTAGTTCAAGTAACTACGGAGCAGGTTCTTCTGCCGGAGGGTATGGTTGGGGAGGTACTTCAAGCAACTACGGAGGAGGTAGTTCTGAAGGAGGTGTTGGGTGGGAAGAATACCTGCCACATGGTGGTGAGACTGCCGTCGATATCGTTCAGCCCGACGGTGATCAATGGCCTGCTTGGGGTCCAGAGTGGGGTGACATTGAAAACACCCTTCGAACTGGGCGTACTTCGCATGACCAAGAAGGCGATGCTGGTTATGCTGCTAACGATGACCATCCTTCGCCGAGCTATCCATTCGCCTCCAGTGACGATGAAAGTGAGGAAGATTTGAGATCAGTCAGTGAGGAGGAAGATACGGACGATAACGACGATATCGATGACAGTGAGGTGGCGTTCCGACAGGCACCAACGCCTTACTACACAGAGGTTCCTGATCAATTTTTATATGGTCAGAACGATGCCCCTGACTTTCGGCCCATGCCTGTGTATAATCCGACTGCTAATTTGGAAGTGGGTATGGCGTTCACTTCGAAAGCCGATGTGCAAGACGCTTTTAGCGAAGAAGCCATGCGGCGTAATTTCGAATGGAAGGTAAAATATTCTGACAAGGGACAACTGCATGTCATTTGTAAGAATGCTGGAGAGGGTTGTATGTGGCAACTTCGTGCTGCATATATGAAGAGAAAGGGGGTCTGGGTCATGCGGACAGTAGAGAACAACCACAGTTGCTCCTCAACCATACTTTCACAGGATCACCGGCAACTGAAAGCAAAAAAAGTGGCAAGAACCATTAAGCACCTTATCGAGGCACAACCAGATATCAAGATAAAAGCTATCATGGCGGAGGTGAAGGATCGACACTCCTACACCATAAGGTATAAGAAGGCGTGGCATGGGAAGCAGAAGGCCATGGCTGATGTCTACGGTGATTGGGATGACTCGTATGCTTTACTCCCCAGACTAATGTCCGCAATGGAGGAGTCCAACCCTGGGACGGTTTTCGTGCCTTGGTACAACAACGTAGAAACTGAAGATCAAGTTCGAGTACAGAACGAGTTGATGTTTCATCGTCTGTTCTGGACATTCAAGCCATGCATTGACGGGTTTCCCTTCTGCATGCCAGTTATTCAGGTATATTACGGACTCAAAATATTGTACTATTTCATTACTTTACTAATTTCAATTTTTACTAACTCGTTATTCATTTTAACAGATTGATGGAACTTTCCTTACTGGGAAGTATAAAGGGACTCTTCTTATTGCCACTGGGGTTGATGGAAATTTAAGTATTTTTCCCTTAGCATTTGCATTAGTTGAAGGGGAGAACAACCTAAGTTGGGCATGGTTCTTTGACCAGCTACACGCCCACGTCACACAAAGAATGGGTATTACAATTATATCGGATCGACATGCCGGGATTAAACACGCCGTCCGTGGTTTCCCGGACGAATGGGGATGGACATGGCGTTGGTGTATTCGTCACTTCCTAGCCAATTTCCAACACAAATTTGGCAAGAAGAAAGACATAAGAGATCAATTGTGGAGTGCAGGTAATAATGTAATTCAGTGCTTGTTCATGGTTTATTATTCAAATGAAATTTCTTATGGATTAATTATTAATTCTCCGGTCTTGTAGCGGTTGCACATCAACCAAAAAATTAATCATACTCCAAAAAATTAACTAACATTAAATCTAATATAGATAATTAACATTCTAACTAATACAGGCATGTAATCATACTCCAAAAATTAACATTCATTAAATCTAATAATGTTAATTAACATTCTAACTAATACAGGCATGTAATTATACTACAAAAATTAACTAAAATTGGCCAAAATGGAATTCACTTACCACTGCGCCCCAAACAGCACCTTGCTTTGACACCCATCTTAGCGTGAAGTTCCGATACCACCGCATGTAGCCATCGTGGTACCCCATTGGCCTTGTCTCCGGCGCCCCTTGGACCACCCACTGATTTCTATTCTCCCATATGTTGATGTAGAATTCATGCTTGCGGGTCCAATCCTTTTTGTTGTAGCGTAGGTCAATGGCGTGGAGCTCCCTGAACCCTTGAGGTGGGGATGCTGGAATTGGTTGCTCCAATCGATATTGCCTCAAAGATCGATCGGGCAGGTGCCACTCCACCATGTGCCAGCAGATTAAGGGCACCTTGCACAACCATGTCTCTTGATCCTCGGGATGTCTAAGACGATGCAACTCAACCACTTCATTTGGATATGGATCCCATACCGCCTACAATCATTAAAATTCATGGAATTAGTAAAAATTATATCCACTCCACCTAATAAATTGAAAATCATGACATTCAATATTTTTGCCTGGTTCCACCAAGCCTTATCAAATTCAGCACGATAAAACAGTAAAGAGTGCTCGGGCTGGTGGTCGTTTGTATTTGCTCCGATCCACCTAATTAAGCAAAATACATATATAAGCAATTTTTAAATTATCTAAATTCACTAAAATACTAGAATTGCAGACCTAAAATGTCTCTAAATCCGCTTAGTTGGAAGATAGCTAAGTTCACTAAAATACTATAATTGCATACTTAAAATTGCATACTAAGTTCACTAAAATCTAAATTCACCTAACTAGCTACCATTGCATATCTAAAATAAATTCAACTTAAATTGAACTTACTTGAAACCATATGGGGGATTTGCTACAAATCGTAGCTCATCATCTGGCAACCAGAATTCCCGAGGGTCTCGAGGTGCGAGAAACGGATGATGCTCCCATGCCCAGAGCTGGAGTATGAACATCGCACCACCAGCTTGTTTCGCTCCCAACTTCGAGCAAGTACACAACTCGCGGTAGATCCCAGCCAAGACGGCCGACCCCCAGCTTTTCTGCCCGATCTCGTCCCAGTCACCGAGGAGCATATTTAACCACATGCCTTGTATCCACCGGTTTGACTTGTCGGGGATCAGAAACCCACCAACCAAGGCAATTAGGTAGACACGTGCATACCGCTCCACCTGATCTTCAGGAGTATCTGGGCCTATATTAACCTCCATCTGGATGTGGTCAACAAGCCACGGGATCGATACTTGCCCCGCATTCAGTGGTGGATGCCCCTGACCTTCGACGGGCGTGGTGGTCGGCATGTTGAACCCCAGACGTTCCTGAATCAATGGCCCCCAACCATCTTCTGGTTTTCTCGAGTTGTCGATGATGGCATCTCCGGTGATCGGGAGCCCGGTGAGGATGGCAACATCTTTGAGGGTGATCGTCATTTCACCTTCGGGAAAGTGGAAGGTATGCAGCTCAGGGCGCCATCGCTCTGCCATTGCCGTCAGCAGATCGTTGTCAATATCAAGCCTCATAAAGTGCCTCAAATTGTGCAATCCCGCCCTCTCTAGATAGGGATGCAGTCGAGGATGCCAACGGGGCAATCGACATGTCCCTCGATGACTGATGGGAATAAGTGATTCCTACAAAACAAAAAACACAATATTGTCAGTCAATAGAAAGCAAAATAAAAACTTAGAAAGCAAAATAAAAACTTTAAAACTATTGAAATAATTTTAGTGTGTCTACCGGATTATTGTTCCAAATTGAACGAGAGCGATGTTGATCTTGCCCGGTTAAATACCTTCGATCCCTTGGGCCAGGATCGATATACAATCTAGGGTCGTATATCTCAGCACCCATCTATAAAAAAATATGAAATCAAATCAATTTAAATTTTAGCACCCATGTAAAAAAAAATCACAAAAGAACCAACCAAATTTACATACTCTCAAAGCCTCTTCGTCCATTTTTTGCCGAAAAGCTAGCGAGAGTATCGACAAAACAACAAAACAAAAACTCTAGTAATTCTTTCTGATGCGGAAGATCGGACTTAGCCGCAACCACAGAGCATACTTAGAACGAAACTAGAGTGAAAAATGGAGGGAGAAAGAAGTATAAAGTGGTGGTGTAGTTTGGAATGAGGGGGGATGGGTATTTATAGTGTTTGGGGCTGGGAAAAGACCTGGCCAGTTATCACCGCCCCAAACAAACACAGTGCCATCACCGCGTCTAACAAAGGCGGTGATGGTCACGGATCGCTGACGTGGCGGCTCCTGATGCGTCGGATTGTGGAGAAAAACCACAATCCGCGCATAACTGCATCGGACGGCAGCGGTGAAGGCGCGGGGTGGGGCGCGGATCGCTGACATGGAAAGCGGGGCTATCACCGCTTTGGTCTTCAGCGGTGAAGTGCCCGCGCGCGTCCACGTCAGCGATCCGCGCCACTTCACCGCTGTTGGATCCAACGGTGAAGGCTTCACTGCCTCCCTCATCAACGGTCATGCCATCACTGTCGTCCTTGACAGCGGTGATGGCATCACTGCTTTGGTCTAAAGCGGTGATAACATCACTGCTTTTGTCTAAAGCGGTGATGTATCATCGTTTTAGACCAAAACGGTGATCAACATCACTGTCTTAGACAAAGACAGTGATGTTGAAACTGCTGTACTTTGGGAATTACTTTTATAAGTACTGTATTTTGGTAATTTTTTTTAATAATTGGTGTATTCTGGGATTTTTTCCTGTTGCCGATGGGCTTTTGCTTTTCTGTAGTGTATTGGCCCGGTCCTGATCAGTGAGCCGAGCATAATCCAGCCGAGTTTTACATCAGTTTGAACTCGGCTTGTTAATAAATGAGGAGAGTTTGAGCTCGGATAATTTATTAACGAGCTAAGTCGAATCTTGTTCGAGCTAGTTTGCTTACTAAAATCTTGAGTAATGTTTGATATATTCATTTTGTATGTAATGTATGATACATATGATTATGTCAAGATGAAAATGAAAATAAAAATAAAAATAATAGTTAAGTATTTAATATTAACTTATCTCATATTATAATTTGTGGTATCATATTATTTAGTAAATTCGAACTAGTCAAAATTATGTTATTTTATAGTATCGAAGCAATATATGTTACATAATTTCTTTATAAGATTAAGTAAGACATATTTGCTCACATAATTTACATGTTAAACTTCATATAGGTGAGATATATAATTTAACAATCTTAAGAATGACAATGGGGCAGGTCCGAGACGGGTATCATGATACCCATACCCGCCCCGTGACAGGTCGGGTAATTTATCATAGGTCACGAGTCGGGACAGGTCGACCCAATGGATATGCAATTCATATGACAAACGTTAGAAATAGTCGTTAATTTCATTATAAGACCAAGAAAACAAACCGTATTATGATAAATGTAGTTAAATTATTGGAGAAATTGAGATTTTCATTAATTTACAAGTTTGTTATGGCTAAAATATGATGTAATAAAAGGAAAATCCTAAGTAATTTTACTAACATCACACGTAATTAGGCAAGAACGGATCGAGAATGGGGCGGGTTAGGGCAGGTCAGGTCGATGAGAGTACCCATGCTTGCCCCGCCCAAAAACAGGCCAAACAAGTCGGGTAAAACGGGTCAGGTCGAAATTTCCATCCCTAAACAATCCTATAAATTATCAAAATCAAACTCATATAGATCGATTCGCTAATAAGTCGGTAATCGAGTTGGCTCTCTAGCCACAATGTTGAGAGTTGAGACATTTCATGAGCTCTAAATGAGCTAGCTTACAAGTTAAGCTCAACAAGCCATCGAGCCAAGCTAGCTCGCGAGCTCTGTAAGCTGCAGAAAGTTTAGCTCAAACTCGACTCGCTAGTAAACGAGTCAAGTATCGAATGTGTTTTCCTTGAGTCGAACGTCGAGCCGCTCGCGAGCAGCTCGACTCATTTGCAGCCTTAGTCTTGACCCGACTATGGCTCTCCTATCCATATTAGTTTTTTTCTTTTTTGTCATAGGTGTCACCGCAGGGAAATGGCAGGGAGACAACAATATACAATACCTTTACAAGTTAAGCCACTAAATGGAACTAAGAAAAAAATATTGGTCGACAAGTGTTCGACCAACTCAACAAAGGCATTTTCTGCCACAGAATTGGTATCCCTGTTATACCTTCACGGAGCGAAATGAAACGTTGCACGCTGAAATGACGTTCGCGGCACTTGGATTTCCTACAGGATAGCTTTACCCATCGCGTGCGACGAGTCTCTCGCAATGACCAATCAGTCGTATAACAACCTGCGCATCACCACAAAACAAAATATTAGAGTAGGAATGCTACTACTACCAACTAATACAATCCCAAAGAGGCAAGAGCTCCAAAAAGGAAAGAATCTCGAAACCATATATCCACAATCAAATCCCCTGCGACAAGCCTAATCACAGAGAAGACAAAAGCACATGGCCGTTTGAACGCGATTTAGAATGGTCATACAAAATGATTAGGACTTTGCTATGGTGACTTGCAAGTCAACGTAACTTGCACTTTTCGGTCGACCTGAGTTAGGATTAGGTATGCCTCTGTTGTTTTAGTGTAAAAACAGTTTCATGGTGCCTACTTTGGAGATTCATATCTTACAATTGGCTGGATGGAAATTGGAGATTAATGACTTGTTTTGAAGCTGGAGTGTCCCTATACACATCGAAGTACTTGGGAGCTCGATTGGAAGTCCAGAAGACCACTTTTGAACCTGATCAAAAGGTTATGCCAAAACTGGGAAACTGTCTAAAAATGGCCAAGTCAGAGAACGTGTTTGTGAAACCTATTTTGGAGCTCAATTCGAAAAGCATGGATGAGAGTCGAGTCCAGGGGTCTCTACCACGTGAAAGTAGGTATGTTTGTCTAAGGCATTGGATGAAAGATTGAATATCTGGAAATCTTCAAACAAAAGGCTCGACGTTCTACCAATGCTACCAATGCTGTTTTTTTGACACCTTGCTTATCTAGAAGGCTAGAATTTACTACGAAGGCAATGATTACTGATCAGTAGTTAGCAAACTAGTAGACCACTCCACTCGGGCTGTCAGCTATCTTGTGTTTAACAACGAAATCAACCGTCGGATGCTGACCAGCCTGTGGATTTAGGGGTGATAAACGGTTAGTCGGTTATCGGTTTTAACCGATAACCGAACCGATAAAGTCGGTTAGTGGTTAACCGATAACCGCTACTTCCTTATTGATTTCGGTTTCGGTTAGTAGTATTTTGGTTAGTGGTTAATCGGTTAGCGGTTAACCGATAAGAAAAACTGATAACCGCCTACTAGTGTGACTACATGGTTTTTTACTTTGGCTAAGGGAAAAAGTTGTAAGATTCAAAACCAATCAAAGTTGCAATTCCAAACATCCCAATTCTCACCTATTGCAAATAACCCTCCATCAAGAGTCTCAAATGTTTTTAAGAGTTAGAACTCGAAAGTCACCCCTCTCTAAATCCCCTTTGCACTCGATAGAGTGAACCTTAGGTTGTTGATGACTATGGGCTAGATGAAGATCTTGGAGTAAATGATGACTATGGGCTAGATGAATTGGAGCGAGATCCTCGGATCATTTAGGTTGATGATTTGGAGATAATGAACTTGTTATTTGTGTCTTGTTGTGATTGTGACTTGTGGTTGAATTGTGGGCATGTAGACTTTATGTTGTGGAGTTGTGGTTGAATTGTGTGGTTGCTTTAGGCTTTATGTTCAATTGATTTAGATGACTTTATGGTGTGTGATTATAGAGGCCGAAACAAAAGCAGGTCACTCAAAATTGAGGGTGAATCATTAAAAAAGGTGGTTGAAATTCGGTTTTGGGTGGTCGGTTTCTGAACGAAAATCGAGAAAGTGAACCAGAACCTGCGGTTTCGGTTAACCGTAAGGGAAAACCGAAACCAATGTTTGCGGTTTTCGGTTAACCGAAGTCTCTGTCGGTTTCGGTTAGTGATCTTGGGAAAATTTTGGTTGCGGTTAACCGATATTTCGGTGCGGTTAAACCGAAACCGCACCGACTAACACCCCTATGTGGATTAACGACACCAAGGCACGGAATCTCCTCCATGGATCTCGAATTACCTACCCGCAATCGCCAGTTCGCCACTCGTCGCAAGTCGTGTAGCAGACGCAGCGTTCGCTTTTTCGCCTCTCTTCCTTCACCTCTACAGTGACTGAATCCTACTTCTACTCCAAAAAGATTTTCTTTCACCTCCGACAGCTAACATCCCACCAAATAAATCCCAACCCGATTCCTGCAACTATCCAACCAATTCTCTGCTCTGCTGGCGGGGAGAGTAAATCAACAACCCCGAGCGATGGATCCTGAATCGGTGTTGAACACAGCAAAGCCGACCCAGATTCCGACTCGGGAAGAAGACCCATCATCGAATCAGTCCACATCTCTTCTCTCCCTCAGCACGGAAGATCCTTCGTCTCCGCCGCAGAAACCCACCACCACCATCATCTTCATCGCGCTCCTCCTCGTCACCTGCGTCGCCCTCTCAGCCGCCTCCGCCTTCGCCTTCCTCTTCTTCTCCGCCGGCAAATCAGCTCATCCGTCGATCAAAGAGGACCAGACCGCGCGGCCGCTGACGAAATTGGATCACCCAGTCGTCCTGTTGATTTCCTCCGACGGGTTCCGGTTCGGGTACCAGCACAAGGCTCCGACGCCCAACATCCACCGCCTGATCGCCAACGGAACGGAGGCGGAGACGGGTTTGATTCCGGTATTCCCTACTCTTACTTTCCCCAATCATTACTCCATTGTCACTGGGCTCTACCCTGCTTACCATGGAATCATCAACAACAAATTTGTCGACCCGAGAACCGGAGCCGTCTTCAGTATGGCCAGCCACGACCCTAAATGGTGGCTCGGCGAGCCACTGTGGGAGACTCTGGCTAATCACGGCTTGAAAGCTTCTACTTACTTCTGGCCTGGCTCTGAAGTGATCAAGGGTTCTTGGGATTGCCCTAAGGGCTTCTGTATGCCCTACAATGAATCGGTTCCGTTTGAGGATAGAGTTGATACTGTCTTGAGTTACTTTGATTTGCCCAGTAACGAGATTCCTGAGTTTATGACGCTGTATTTTGAGGACCCTGATCATCAAGGCCACTTGGTTGGTCCTGATGATCCCCAGATTACTGAAGCTGTTACTCACATTGATGGGTTGATAGGGAGGTTGATTAGTGGGCTAGAGAAGAGAGGGATATTTGAAGATGTTACCATAATCATGGTGGGTGATCATGGTATGGTTGGTACTTGTGATAAAAAACTGATCTTTCTGGACGATTTAGCCAAATGGATAAAGATTCCTGCAGAATGGGTGCCTTACTACACTCCGGTTCCTTCAATCCGCCCACCTGCGGGTGTTAATCTTTCGGAAGTTGTTGCAAAGATGAACGAAGGGTTGCAGTCTGGGAAAGTTAAGAACGGGAAGAACTTGAAGATGTATCTGAAGGAAGATCTTCCTAGCAGGCTGCATTACTCCGGCAGCGAGAGGATTCCGCCCATCATAGGGATGCTTGGCGAGGGGTTTAAGGTGGAGCAGAAGAGTACTACAGCACAAGAGTGTGGTGGAGCGCATGGTTATGACAATGCATTCTTCTCCATGAGGACCATCTTCATTGCTCATGGTCCTCAGTTTGGTAGGGGAGTGAAGGTGCCATCTTTCGAGAATGTGCAGATATACAATGTGATCACATCGATTCTGAACGTCCCGGGTGCCCCTAACAACGGGACTTCCTCGTTTCCTCGATCTATTCTTTTGCCTAAGGCTTAGTGAATGCTCTGTGTTTGCTAGTTCAAAGAACTGACTATGTTGTTCTGTGAGGGTAGATGGTTGTGTTAGTATTATCACGTCGGAACCAGGATAGAACGCGCTTGTTGTGTCGTTCCTTTTGGATTGTAGATTCTTGCTTTCTCACTTGGGTTTAGGATTGTTTATTACTGTGAGCTGCATAACACGATCGAATGTTCCCCCTGAAGTTTGAATGTTTCATCTTAGAGTTTGAGTTTCTTTCGAACGAACCATGTCCCATGAGGAAGAGTGCTAGACATAGCAGTTAACTCTTTGTTCTGCATTACTCGTTCTTCTTTTCAGGCCTTTTAATTTTTGTGGTAATCATCATAGTCGATGCAGGATGTGGCTATATGTTGCTGTGTTGTATTGTGGTATGTGGAGCATGATCAAGCTTCGGCAATCTGGGTTTGCAACTCCACAGTCCAGGTGTCTTGCCATGTCTGAAATCTGAATTTCTAAAATGGACAGCAGTTGGATACTACCTTCTTTGAAGGCAATAACCAGGCGCAATCCGTAATAGCAAAGAGCATTTGAGAAGTGCCAAGATGAACACTTTACTCCAAGACATTCTCAGACCGCTGTACAATTCAACAATGAATTCGCTTTCTTCGACAAAAATCAGTCGAGAAAACTATGCAAATGTATTTCGAGTCCTGATTATGCCGCTGATTTACTACTAATTCCGTACTAAGCGTTTATATTTTCTAAAGAAACGACAAAGGCAACCGTAACCGGCAGGGCCAAGTCGCCTAGCCAACTACCAAAATACTCTCCTCACCCCAATTTTCCATGTGATTTCTCTTTCTTTCCAATTGGAAAAAGAAAGGGCAGTTGCTTTTTTTTGGCAGATTCTGGTTCACTCAAAACAATTACACTGCTGCCCAGTGGGCAGAAGAGGATACACACAGCGATAGCAACAGACCTTCATCTGATACTTCTCCCTCCCCTATCCTCTCTGTTCTCGTCTTTCGCCCGCCACTGGAGCAAAAACAATCTTGGTATCTTTCTCTCGGCTCGGCTTCCATGGCTTCCTTCCGGTCCAATTGAAAATTCATGTTCTGAGCTTCGTGATTTTTCTTTTTTTGCTACTCCGTGGGCTTTCTTTATCCTCTTTCTCCCTGGTATTCTGGTAAATGGCAGATGCTATCCGGTCGCCATCTTTTCGGTTTTCTTCCTCCCTGCTTACCACTGCCTCTGTTTCCGCCTTGAATTCCTCTTCCCAGCCCTCTATTTCGCCCGTTGGCTCATGTTCGGATAAGAGGGCTTCCCCCGTTTTGTTCGTCTCTTCTGCTGGCGTTTCTCCCTTCGTTCCTGCTCCAAGGAAGCAATTCAATTCCTTAAAGGTACGATCTTTTAGCTTCCCAGTTATGGGGTTTTTCATTGTAATTCGTGGTGCTCTAATGGGGTTTCAGATGTTTAGGATTTCACTTTTGTTGGAATTGAGTTCTTAGTCATTGTCATGCCATGATTAGGAGTTTGGTGCCTGCTTTTCCTCCTTGTGCTTGGGGTTTCTTTTGGTATGGGAATTCAGCACCGGTAATTGTTACTGTGAAACTGTAGATGGCTACCTTGTAGAAATTAAGTGAATCACTTGATAGTTGATAGCAATTTTGTTTCTTACTTGCATAATCTGTAATCCTCTGGGTTAGTTATAATAACACAATGTACGTTTGAGCTTTTTTGGGGTTCTGAAGTGGGTGGTTGTTCAGCTATGCTTTACTCCCCATTATTTTGGATCAATGTTGGGGCTACTTCAGGCCATGGACAATGTCTGGCTCTGACGTTCTACTGGCCATTGCTTAATCTAATTCAAGAGTGCAGGCCATAGCATACACAGTAAACGGCAGTACCTGCAGGACCACTTGCTCGTTATGTATTCCAAGCTAAATACTGAAGTCAGTTTTTGTGCTTTCTGAATTGGTTATGAGGCATTACCTTCCCGCAGAATGTGCTCGGATAGTGAACGCATGTTGGGTTAGAAAGCCAATTTCTTTCTGCCATTAATGCTTTCAGTATGCTACTGCATCTTATCTAAACTTGGACTTTCCATGGTTTGTGATTCTATGGAATGGGTCTGTTAGTTCATCAAACTATATATGAAATCTACTTAAATTGATTAGTCAAGGCCGATTTATTTGTTCTTGATTCTCAATTACCGATACTCCATATATGTTGGAAATTTGTTTTCTAATGAGTCCCTATTCTTAGGCTGAATGGATTCCAATTAGTATGTGATTGAATGCTCTGCTGGAACATCCCTTGGCTCCCCATATATGGATCTATTTGGATGCTAAGATGATTTTATTGTTTTGGTTTCAGGTACATGCAACTATTGCTGAGACAGACCAGCCAAAATGGTGGGAGAGAAATGCTGGACCAAATATGGTCGATATTCATTCTACACCAGAATTTTTAAGCGCCTTGAGTGAAGCTGGAGATAGATTAGTCATTGTTGAATTTTATGGCACGTGGTGCGCTTCTTGCCGAGCATTGTTTCCCAAGGTATCTATGACGTCTATACACATTGTATATCAATAAATTTTTAGTGCATTTTCAGAGTAATTTCAAACACCAACATAAACTAAGTTTGTGCTTTTGTGATCTGCATATTCAATATTTGATAGCCTTTTAAGTATTGTATAATAAGCTGAAAACTTGTGTTTGTGAAGAATTGAGAGTTTCTGCGCCTAGCTTGAGAAGTCATGCTAAAAGGAAAATCTGCACAGCCATAGAATTGTGTCCTAAAATGCTACTCTTATGTTCTTGTAAACTAGGTTAGTGCCAATTCCACTTGAATTTGTTATATATACCCCTCAGGGAAGTGGAACCTAAGGCTTCTACTGCGAGGAAAGATGAGACTTAATATAAATTATGGAAATCGTCTTGGTTAACCTTTTGCAGGATGATCCAAACTAGTTGAGTAGAAAGTGATGACGCTTTTCTTATATCTGATATGCTTACATGATCTATTTGAATGCAAAGATTGATTGTTAATTCCATCTAGTTTAAAATCTTGGTGGGTTCAGCAGAACAATATAATCTGTTTGGTTCTTTCTTTCTATAATTTGTGCTCCTTCCTATGTAAGATTCCAAGTTGGGAAGTTCATACCGCATCTTGTCCTTTGTTAGCTTGCCTCAAGAATGGTCTTTGAGTTATATGCTTAAGTTATTGTGCTAACTACCTGCTGATGATAGAAATCTAGGAAAAACTTGCCCCAAAGATATGAATGTTCTTTCTTGGAATACCCCTTTGTGCTGAGTTTATCATGTGAATGGATGTGACAGCTCTGCAAAACTGCTGAGGAACACCCAGAAATTCTATTCTTGAAGGTCAATTTTGATGAAAACAAGCCGATGTGCAAAAGCTTGAATGTAAAGGTGCTTCCTTTCTTCCATTTCTACAGAGGGTCTGAAGGACAACTGGAATCTTTTTCCTGTTCACTTGTCAAGGTCAGTATATTCTTTCTATACCCTCTAGAAAAGATGATGATGCACTTTTTCACTTGGTGACGTTCGATTCAAACCCGAGATAAGAAATATTGAACAATCTTCTCCTATGATTTCTGTCGTGGGAAAACATCTAGGGTAGGCACGATGAAACAAACTTAACTGTAGGTAAGAAGTGTTTAGTCCATTTAGACTGAGTTAGCTTTTCCAATCAATAAATTGAGTTAGCTTTATGAATACGAGTACGAGGATTCGTAATATCATTGTAGTGAAGCTTCGGATATGCACTCATTAACTGCCGATAAAATGGAACAACATTTGCCCACTTCAATTCACTTTCATATGATCAAAGGTTACTGATATTGAGCTACATTCTAAGTTCTAACTCCTTCATGATCCTTCCTCCAAAACACCTTGATTTGCAGTTTCAAAAGATAAAAGACGCAATTGCGAAGCACAACACCGAACGTTGCAGCATTGGCCCGCCAAAGGGCGTAGGAGAGCTCAACCTCAATTCCTTTGCTGCTCCAAAGGACAGCCCTCCTTCATAAAGCAGCAGCATTCTTTCTTCACTACGCAATTTTCCCCCCCAGGATTTGCATGCTGGTATGAAACTCTCCACCATGGTTACCGAGACTTACAACCACCCACCACTATACGTAAGTCGAGTGTATATGTTTCATTCTCCCCTGTAACATTCTTTCTCTGTTAGCTTACTATAACTCTTCCTCCGCAAAATTCTTTCTTTTGCCATTTCTCTGTCGCGATGCTTGTAATTTCAACAGCTAAATTGCAAAATGAAATTCCATCGACTTATTATATCTTGATGAATTTGGCTACTGTGGTATAATCGTTGGATGTAGGCGATGATAATTATTCACAAAATTATCATCATACATCTGATGATTGTGAATTATTTATACGATCGATCCAATGGGGTAAGCACGTATTTACGTCTAAGGGTAGTACGCAATGTAATGATTATGGATCGTTAGATGTTAAACGATCTATCCAATAATGTCAGCACGCATCTTCGTCAATGGTTGTAAGCATGCCAACGGAATTGACGATTGCTATGTAAGGTATATCTGTTTGTAAATCATTTTCCAAATCATCAAAAACACTTTGTGTGGATCTTTTCCTCTCTCAATTTCCCTCTCCATCTCTCTATCTCTCCGGTGTGGAGATCGGGAGGAATGACGAGATACGGAACAATTCCATCATCATCGCAATCACAGCCGCCGCCGCCGCAGTCGCCGGCGTCGTCGTTTCCTTCGTCAACGATCGTACCCATCTGGGGTCAGAAGATCAGATCCACCGCCGAAAACCTAATCGCCACCGCCAAGCCATGGAAGCTCATGATCCAACCACAATCCCTCGCCATCCCCGCCACATTACCCCAATCCATCGACAGGATCAAAGCCAATGTCGCCTTCTTCCGCAGCAATTACGCCATCGTCGCCATATGTGCCCTGTTCCTCTCCCTTCTCTGGCACCCTGTTTCCTTCATCCTCTGCCTCGCCGTCGCCGCGGCGTGGCTGTTCCTCTACGTCCTCCGTAACGGCGGGGACCCCTTGGTGGTCGGTGGGCAGGTGATCGGACAGAAGACGGTGGTGACGTCGCTGCTGGTGGGGACGATGGTGGTGCTCTTCTTCACGGAGGTGGCGGAGGACATCGTCGTGGGGCTTTTCGCCGGGATTGCGTTGATTGTCGTCCACGGAGCGGTGAGGGAGACCGGCGACCTGGTGGCCGTCGGCGGAGCTGTGCAGGATCCTGCAGCGATTGGGTCGTCGTCGGTTGCAATAGCAATACCCGGTTCGTATCAAGCAGCCGGCAATAAGAATATCAACAAATAGCTGCAATCTGCGACCCGCGTGAACGACGGACCATAGAGCTTCTCTGTGTATTTTGTGAAAAAATTTATGTGTCTATAAAGCTCTGTATTGTTGATTAGCAGAAACAAATACTCATGGAAATCCATGACAATGTAACTTCTTGGATCATATTTCCTAGTTGCCAAACGTAACGTGGTGAAGATTTTGCTTGTTTTCACATCCCAAGTTCCCAATACTATTCTAATCAAGATTTTGTCTGCATCATGGTGATTTCGGTGAGGTTTAGAGGAAAAATCTTCACATGAAAGACATTAAATTTCATAGTTCTTGTAAAAACAAAACTCATTCATTTTACTTCAAAACACGTCTTATTAGTTAATGTTGAATTTTTCTTGTGAATCATGAAGTTGGCGATAGATTGTTGTGCTGAAATATCAAGAGATAGAATGGACATCCATATCGTGCTTTACAAGCTTGAAACGATTAGATCACGAATTTTGAAGGATCTTGTAGTGGCTTGAAATAGATTGGAGGTTGGTGAGGGCTTTGAAGAAGTTTCTAAACTTGTAATATTGTTTAGTTTGTATGTGGAGGGAGAATGGATGGTCATATACATGCATAATACCTTTTATGCACAACATTGAAAATTTTGGTTGGATGTATTTTTACCTTGATGTACTTGATCAAGGGTGTTTGTGGTTAATTTTGTCATGATATTTGCTCCCGGTGTGCCAAAATCTAAAAAATAAAAGTACAATTACCTCTTATTTTTTAGAAGAATGTCAAAGACACAAATATAATCAGATCTTTCATGTTTTTTACACTAAGGAGAGGAGACTTCCACCACAAATTTGTCAGGCTCTAAGAAGCAAGGACTGTAGAAACGGAAGGGAGGAGGAGATTCATAGGTCATAGCCCATAAGGGGGACCTAACTACCATTTATGTGATAATATTTTTTGTCAAGATGAGTGTCATTTGTTTTATGGATCGCTAAAGGTCGTTATAATATTACTAAACGTCGTCCTAATATTAGTATGTAATTTACGGTATCGCTCATTTCAAATTCAAATCAAACAACTTCCTTTTTCTTCCGGGGGACTGAAACTCATCCCCAGCCTCCTCCTTCTTCTGGTTGCCGCCAGCGAGCACTCCCCCTCCGATTTGCTCACCATGCGTCCATGCCGATTCTCTGTAGAGTTGGAGTCAGTCACCCTCTCCATGCTCGGCGAGTCAAACAGAAAGCCAGCCCACGTTCCATAAGAATTTTAAAATGGCTTCACAAATGCGGTTTGACCCATGGTGAAACCGTTGTCAACTATTCTGACTTCCCCAGAGCCCCCGGTAGCACAGCCGAGACAGCGACGGGTTCTCTGCCCCTGCGGGGATGGAGCGACAGAAGTTTTGAGAATTCAAGAGAAGGTCAAGGGGCCTATTAGAACTAGAAGGCGCTCTGGTGGGATCCTCACGTACCGTCGATTAAGGGGGTCCTAAACAAAAAAGGAGGTGCTGCTAAATGTAAGGATCTTATCAACGTCCATGAATGAGAAATCATAATCGAACTGCCGAATCGGAAAAATTGGGTGCTATCGTATAGCTTTGTACCGGCTAAGTTCACGAGTTGGAGATAAGCGGACTCGAACCGCTGACATCCGCCACAGGGTAAACCACTGCCTCTCGGGCCCCCCGACTGATTCTACCATAGAGGCCAACGATAGACAATAACTCCCCCTATTTTGGCATTATAACCGCAAAGAAAAGTTTCATTTTGACCATAGTTTTATCTGGGTTGGCCGAAAATTTTTAAAATTTGATTTCATTTATGTAATTTAATTTTTTAAAATTTAATTGAGTTTTATGAGTCAAGATTGATTTAGGATATTTTAGATTTTTTAATAGTGGTGTGTTTGTTGTGAAGAGAAGCTAAAATGCACAAGAGGATAATAATGTAACTTAACAATTTTTAGGATTTTTTTTTTGAGCAACAATTTTTAGGATGATATTTAGTAATTTTTAAGACCATCTTTAAGACTTCAACAATTCCCTTTATTTTTTGCTGAAGTAAAAGTCATTTTCTCCCGGAAATTACAGTAGGCATCACACTGTCACTCCATCACCATCAGTGCCTTTCTTAGAGTTCTTCCTCGCTCACTCTGAAGCCTGCGCGGAGAGTATTGGAGCATAACGCTCAGAATCAGTCTCGCATTGTGAAGCCAGCCGTCGGGTTGAAGGATTTTTTCCCCCGTCCGGAGACTCTATAAAACGATCCACGAGCCAGAAAAGGGCTCCAAAGGTTTAGGGTTTAGTGACTTGTGACTTGTGACTGCTGACCCAGGTGAGTTCACTGCCTTCTTTCCCCTCTTTTGTTTGGAAAATCGTAACTTAAGCGTGTTTAAGTTTCTGGGTAGGATTTCCGCCTACGAAATTGAAGCGACGAAACTGCATTTGTTTGTTTACTGGGGTTTCTGTTTCCTTTCAGCTGTTTATGGTAGGGTTGCATGTCTTGTTAAGAAAATGGTAACTTTGGCGTGTTTGGACTACTGGGTATGATTTTCGCCTCGGAAACTGAAGCAACGGCACATCGTTTGTTTGTTCATAGGGTTTCTGTTTCTTTTCAGCTGTTCTCGATCGTTTGCATGTGTTGTTAGTTGTTACCCATAACCATTTTAACGAAATGCACGCTTTTAATGGGTTTCTGTTGATCTTCTCCTGATTTCCCCTTTCCCCGTTTCAGTGATAGTATGGACTCACCAGATTTCATGGAAGAAGATGTGGGTACAAGCAGTAGAAATGAGAAGTTTGAGAATTTTGATATCGATGATCTATTTGAAGATGGCGATGATGATGGAGGGGAGAACATGCAGAAGTTAAAGGAGATAGGGGAAGTGAACTTGAATAACTTCTGTAGAAAGGCAGCGACCCAGTTTTTCAATGAGTACGGTCTCATCAGTCACCAAATCAACTCGTACAATGACTTCATCAGCAACGGTCTGCAACGGGTCTTTGATTCCTTTGGCGAGATCTTGATTGAGCCGGGATATGACCCTTCCAAGAGGGGAGATGGTGAGTGGAGGCATGCTTCAGTAAGGTTCGGAAAGGTTACTGTTGAAAAGCCAACCTTTTGGGCTGAATCAGATTCAGAGAAAAAGGAGCGTAAGTTCCTACCTAGAGATGCACGCCTACAGAACATGACTTATGCTGCAAGGATCAAAGTGGAAGTCACTTTCCAGGTAAATGGAACTTCTGATTTCTGTTCAACTACTGTTTGTTGCTATTGATTTTGAAGTACACACCTTTTTTAAGTTTTGGCTTCTTGTTTGGCACATTTTTCTGTGGGCAATAACTTATAAGGTCTTAGAAAGAGGCCAATTTGCTGCTGTTTTGTGGAGGAATTTGCTGCATGAACATGGCCTGCCTAAGCTTCAATTCCATCCAACTACTTGGAGCTGGATTATGCTTGTGTTTACTGAAGCCCACAAGTTTCGATGGTAGGGTTGTAGGATTGGTGTTCGACAGATTTGGGCAAGGATTAATTCCTGCAGTCTAGAGCAGCATTATATTCTAAATGTAAATAGGTTTAAATATGGTTGTGCTAGTCACTGTGAGCTAGTAGTTTCCTCCTGAATGAAATGGGCGTCTAGAGAAATAGATAAAAAGAGGAATAATTATTCTGTTCTTGTATTGCCTTGTCCTCTTTTCTGTGATATCCATTTGACAATACCATCTCTCCCCTTGATGCAAACTCTAGAAAAGAAACTCGCGCCTAATTGTTGAGAATCACGTTGATTGCAGAACATGTCCCTGCCTATCTTGTGGAAATTTCTAAGATGTGTTTTATTTACTTTACAATTATCTCAGGTGTACACACCAAAGCTTATTGGAAGTGACAAGTTCAAGACGGGGAAGGACAAAATACTTGAGAAAGTGATACAAAACAATGAGACGGAAGAGGTTGTGATAGGGAGTCTTCCTGTGATGGTGAAGTCTGATCTGTGCTGGATGAAGACAGACGAGAAAGTTGATTGTGATTTCGATCAGGGAGGCTACTTTGTGATAAAAGGTGCTGAGAAGGTGAGTTTTCTTTTTCTTTTCTAGTTGGGTCTTTTATTTTGAAGCTACCAATCTGTAAAGTTGTGTAGTCATTCTTTTTATTCATTTGGCTGATGTGTTTATACATTTCTCTGCGTTGCAGGTTTTCATTGCTCAAGAGCAAATATGCATGAAGAGGCTTTGGCTTGTGAGCAGTCCCACCTGGACCGTAGCATACAAATCAGAGGTTAAGAGGCACAGGCTGATTGTTAGAATAGCTGGCCTCAGTAGAGGTGAGGAGATAAAAGGAGAAAAGAAAGTTCTGATGGTGTACTTCTTGTCAACTGAGGTGCCATTGTGGGTCTTGTTCTTCGCCCTCGGTGTCAGATCGGACAAAGAAGTCGTAGATCTGATAGATTACGACAATAATGATCCGAACGTAGTCAATATACTCTTTGCATCAATTCAGGAAGCTGAGAAATTTGAGGGGTTCCGCAGGGGGAGAAAAGCACTTGAATTTGTTGATGAGAGTATACACAAGACCCAATTCCCGCCCACTGAGCGCATGGAGGAATGTATTAGCAAGTATCTTTTCCCAACTCTGGAACATCCTACCCAAAAGGCTCAGTTTTTAGGGTATATGGTGAAGTGCCTTTTACTGGCCTCTACTGGTCATAGGAAATCTGATAATAGGGATAGTTTCAGAAACAAGAGGCTTGAGTTGGCAGGGGAGTTGCTTGAGAGGGAGTTGAAAGCTCACATATCGAATACTCAGAAACGTATGAAAAAGACCCTGCAAAAGTCCCTTGATGATGGCCGACCTATCCAACCGGTTGCTTTTTACCTGGATCCTTCTGTTGTAACCAATGGTTTGTCAAGAGCATTCTCCACTGGAGCATGGTGCCATCCTTGGAGGAAAATGGAGAGAGTTTCAGGTGTTGTGGCGAACCTTGGCCGCACAAATCCACTGCAAACAATGATTGATTTGCGAAGGACTCGCCAGCAGGTCCTGTACACTGGGAAAGTTGGAGATGCTCGATACCCGTAAGTCTTTGAAAACCTAGTGCTTACTTTTCTCTTGCGTTCTACTGAGCTTATTGTTGAGCAGCCAAAAACTGAAGCATCAATTGATTGATACGTTATTTGATGCACTTTAAGGCTTGCATGAGTACAACAGAAGCAGGACTACAACTGCTGCCAATTTGAGTCTTCATGTCTTGCATTAAAACTTAAACTTTATCCATAGATTAATCTATATACATATATATAACCTGAAGGAGCTGGAATATCTAGACCTTCACTTGGAGTCAGTGTGCAGTTTGGCAATTGGGTGTTAGATTTATTGTGTTATGTTTCAAATTTGAAGAATGGAACGGTTTAATGGGCATTCATTGTAAATTGTCCAGTTCGTTGATAATCTTGGCCAAAGTTGGATTGATTCCCCTATTTTTCCTCCAGAGTTTCTACTGAACAGAAAATGGTAATTTAGATAGGAGTCATTGACTAGCAGATAGTGAACTTAGTTTCTGTCTAAATCATGCTTTGATGCTGAGTAATCAGGCGTTGTTAGTGATGTAATTAGTTTATCCATGCATTTCCTATACCTATCAGCTTGGTTTGATGCTAAGTCCTGGTTTCTTTCTTTCTACTTCTAAGCATCTTACAGTAGAATGTGAGCAGTGAATAATATAAAGACTGGGACTAAAGTCTGTGTGTGTGTGACAGTCGTAACCTCTGGATTTAATATCAAATTATTTCTATGCAGGCACCCTTCTCACTGGGGTAGAGTTTGCTTTCTCTCCACTCCTGATGGTGAAAACTGTGGTCTTGTAAAGAATCTATCCATCACAGGTGTTGTCAGTACAAACATAACAACTCCTTTAATTGACAAGTTAACTTACTATGGGATGGATAGACTTGCTGAAGGAACTTATACTAGACTCGATGGAAATGAAAAAGTGTTTCTGAATGGGGAATGGGTAGGAGTTTGTGAAACTCCTCACTTGCTCGTGAGAAAGTTAAGGCGCATGCGACGCAAAGGAAGGCTGCCACATCAGGTACTTTTTAAATGATTCTTATAACACTATCAGATTTCTGCTGAGGAAATCCAAATTTAGCATCTGCTCTTTTCCTTGCAGGTGGAAATTAAAAGGGACGAACAGCAGAAAGAAGTGCGTATCTTTACGGATGCTGGAAGGATTCTGCGTCCTCTAATTGTTGTTGAGAACTTAGCAAAGATAATATCTTCGAAAGGGGAAACTTATACCTTCCAATCCCTTTTGGATGATGGCATCATTGAGTTCATTGGGACTGAAGAGGAAGAGGATTGCTCTACAGCTTGGAGCATAAAAAAATTGTTAAGGTCAGGTGATGGGACGCATGCTGTGAAGTACACACATTGTGAACTCGACATGTCATTCCTGCTAGGTTTGAGTTGTGGAATTGTCCCCTTCGCAAATCATGACCATGCAAGGAGAGTTCTGTATCAGTCGCAAAAACATTGCCAACAAGCTATTGGTTTCTCGACCACAAACCCCAACATTAGAGTGGATACACTGTCTCATAAGTTGTTTTACCCACAAAGGCCTCTTTTCCGAACCACCACTTCTGACTGTTTGGGGAAACCTTGGTATCCACTTGGTCACAATGGAGTTCTTCCTAGGCCTGAGTTTTTCAATGGTCAGAATTGCATAGTTGCAGTAAACGTGCATATGGGGTACAATCAAGAGGATTCCTTGGTGATGAACCAGGCTTCTCTGCAGCGTGGGATGTTCCGGACCGAGCACATCAGGAGTTACAAGGCCGAGGTGGATAACAAGGAGGAAAAGAGAAGAAAGTCTGATGATCCTGTTCATTTTGGGAAGATACAGAGCAAGATTGGTCGAGTCGATAGTCTCGATGATGATGGTTTTCCCTCAATTGGAGCAGATCTGCAGAGTGGGGACATTGTTGTGGGGAAGTGCGGTGAGTCTGGAGCTGATTACAGTATCAAATTGAAGCACACTGAAAGAGGCAAGGTTCAGAAGGTTGTTTTGTCGGCTAATGACGAGGGAAAGAACTTTGCTGTGGTATCATTGAGACAGGTAAACCTAATACCCTGGCCTATTTGTCTAGTGGATATTATTTTAAGGATTTATCCTAATGTTCACTGACTTCATGGAGGCAGAAGTTGAGGTTCTCTTACTGTGATTTCAATCTTTTAAGGATTGTCTTGCTTATTTGTAGGTGTTGTCCTTTCCTCTCACTTTCATTGCTGATGCACTTTGTATGTATCCTGACTTTCTGCAGGTCCGGTCTCCTACTCTAGGTGACAAGTTTTCAAGCATGCACGGGCAGAAGGGTGTTCTTGGCTTCCTAGAGGCTCAGGAGAACTTCCCCTTTACAATACAAGGAATAGTGCCTGATGTGGTCATCAATCCACATGCATTTCCTTCACGTCAAACTCCTGGCCAACTCTTGGAGGCTGCTCTGGCAAAAGGGATTGCTTCTGGGGGTACGATGAGATATGCAACTCCTTTCTCCACTGTCTCGGCCGAGTCCATCACAGACCAGCTGCACAGGTGACAATACTAGCTACTACCTCACATTAAGTTCTGGTTTTTATGCATTCTTGTTGTTGACCCTGCTCCATTTGATTCAACAAGTTGATGAAGGTGTAGATGATGAAATTGTAAAAATGCGTAAATTATCTTGGAATTATTAGCTGCTTCCGCAACTTGTTGACTTTTTAGGATAGCTGAATTATGTGTGAAGTGAATTGACTAAATATGACCCTACAAGCTTTTGGATTTTTATGACAAAACCAGAACTGGAAGTATGGAAGAGACAATAGTAAGGTCTCAATGCTAAATTCCATACCGGAGGTGAATGTTAGAACCTAGAAGTTGGGCCAATGTATTTGATCAAGAAGTTGTCCACGTTTGCTTTGTCCTAGCTCACGTTTACAGTTTTAATTGACTGAGAGCAGTCATTGTCATATCTGGTTGCAAAAAACAGGGCTGGATTTTCAAGATGGGGAAACGAGAGGCTATACAACGGTCGAACCGGAGAAATGGTCAATTCGCTGGTCTTCATGGGCCCGACCTTCTACCAGCGGCTGATCCACATGGCTGAAGACAAGGTCAAGTTCCGTAACACGGGGCCTGTTCACCCGCTCACCAGGCAGCCGGTTGCAGATCGCAAGCGCTTTGGCGGGATCAAGTTCGGCGAGATGGAGCGTGACTGCCTGATAGCCCACGGCGCAGCAGCAAACCTCTACGAGCGGCTCTACACGCTCAGCGATTCCTCCCAGCTGCACATCTGCCAGAACTGCAAGAACATCGCCAATGTGATCCAGCGATCTGTCCCCGGTGGGCGCAAGGTCAGGGGCCCTTACTGCCGTATCTGCGAATCCGTCGATGACATTGTGAAGGTGAATATCCCCTATGGAGCTAAGCTGTTGTCCCAGGAGCTCTTCAGCATGGGGATCAGCCTCAAGTTCGATACCAGACTTTGCTGAGTTGAGTAATCAAGTTACATGCAGGGGGGGACAAAAACTTCTGTGCAAATGCTGACATTTGTAGGGTCTGTTAGTAGTTTTTCTGTGTCAGTTGAATGTGCTCCAAGTTGCAGAGACAAAACAGAAATGCTCCTGATCTTATCTAGGACTAACAAAACAAACGGAAATGTTGCGGTATATTTGCTGGGAACTAGTGTGCTGAAAACGGTTTCTGGCAGCACTTGTTGACTGTTAGGACTTTCGTATGAACAAAGTGACTCATGCATGTTTTCTTTAGCAAACGAGTCGTTCGGTAAATGACCAAACTCGGCCTATGATCATACTGTTAAGGTTAGAAAGATGGTTATTTTGCCAGGCTTGGTGAAACCGTTCAATGATTGCAGTTAAAACCACAATGGATGTCTAACTCAGACTACGGCTGTGCCAGGCATTTGCCAGCCAGATGGTATAAACTTTCAAGAAACAAGGACCAAATGTAACTATCAAATTATATATTAATACCTCTAATTATAGGATAATTGGGGAAGAAGATGGAATCTTCTCCGAGATTAGGAGTGGTGTGTGGGGGCATTGAGGTTCAAAAGAGTGATCAGCCGCCACTCAATTTGCCCTTTTTAGGTTTTTTGACAGTAACCCATTTGGCAAATCAGTCTTTGTCCTGTGGCTCAAGGATTCAACTCCATTAATATTTTAAAAGTTATATAATCAACCTAAAGAAAAAGGAACACCTCTCTTCTCATGATTCATGTTTTCAGATAAGGGCTAATTAGGTTTGAGTGCTTATACTTAAAATTCTGTCATCTTTAAGCCTCTAGTAGGGATGGAAAGTTTTTTAAAAAAATATTTGGGTATTGTTAGACTCAAACTTATTATGGATCAATTCAGATTTGGGTAATTTTACTCTTTGGCATTATTCGTAATAAATTTTTTTAGTTTGGGTCTAAATTGGATCTATATCATTGGATACTCAAAAGAAAATGAATATTTGATTATAATGAAATTTTTTCTTTTCCTTTTTGTTATGAAACATCAACATTAAAGGTGTAATTAGGTTGACTGCAGTTAATGAGATAATCGATATTGTGTTTCTGCATGTACAATCATCTGAACCTGAATAGACATGTTTGTGTCTGCTCAAAGTGGACCCAATTCAAATCCAAACCAAACTCAAAATCATTAAACGTGCACTTGGGTTCACTTGACCCGACCCAATATTCATATAGGTCATGGCAATTGGGTCAAATTACCCAATAAATCGACCTATTACCATTCCAAATACTAGATGAACTTTTGTCATACCTTTCTCCATTAGATTCATCTAATAAATACTATTAAGAGTTGTAATTTTTTGAAACTAAACAAAGGTTTTCGAACTTAGGTAACACAGCTATTTTAGTCAACCGCTTATCCTTTCTTCATTAATTTTGCTCGGCGAATAGGCACGGTTGGTTATTTGATTAATCTCCTTGTATGATAAATAATACGATGTTTGGATGGTTTGTTCGATAACAACCAGCATGAGGATAGAGGGGGAAACAAACTTAAACTATACTTGAACCAGATCAAGTTAGATTAAATATAATATGAATATATGATTCATTTTTTAGTTCCATTGATTTTTTGAATTAAAAAATGGACTGAATTGGTATTGGATTAGACTAAGTTGAACCACTTATATCTCACCAAAAAATTGAACCAATTATAGAGTACAAGCGCCAAAATGGCGACTCATTACCCTTGGAAGAAAGAACGATAGAAATTGCTTTGCTTCCTCGCCCTAACTTGCCTTCCTCCCTTGGCTTTCATCAGATTGTGATTTAGATTAGGTAAATGGACTTTGATTGAATGATAGCGTGGTCTTTAGAAAACAGAAATAGTTAGAGTGGAGTTGTAAGTCTTTCCAAAATAATTTAGGACCACAAACTTAGACTCTACAACAAAGAGTGATACTAGTCACAAAAAGGTTGTTGTTTGTAAGAAAAAACCAACATATTATCATTAAAGAACTTCATTTCAGATTTCTCTCATATAATTTTTCCTTATTTTTGTAGTGGGTCTATCATATACATTAGGTGAGTCTCAGAAGATCATTGATCATTTGGCACGAGTTGCCGAAGAGAACAAAGAGTAGCATCAAACTTTACTACTGTTGAGACAAATAATCCACTATAGAATCAAACATTTTATGAAAATAAGGAAGTACATATAAGTACCGCTACGACAAACAATCAATTACTGAATCAAACATTATGAAAATTAAAAAAATACAGATAAGTATCGCTGAGAGCCTGAGACAAATAATCGAATAAATAGTTTCAAATATTATAAGCACGAGAAATATACTCATCTCATTGGAGGACACTTGAGAATTGAAGTACAACATCAACATGCTAGTGCAAAGGAATGAATTCTAGATTCTTCAATAACCCCTTAAAAAGTTATTGATAAGACATGGTTACTTATATATTTGTACTTTAGAATAACAAAAGCAAGAAGAAGAGAGGAAACCCCAAAAGCAAAGCATTAAGTTAAAAAAAAAAGAGCTCTTTTTTTATTGTTTTCTCTTCCATTGTCACATTATTATTTATCATTATATTTACAAAAATGAGAGTAAAAAAAAAAATCAGAAAACTCCATAGTGGTATTTCATCTTCATCATTCACAAATTCATGCCATTATTAAGAAAAAGGGCCATTCATTCATGGCCCCAAAAGCTCTTTCTTTCCTTTTTCCACAATAAACAAAAGACCCATTTTTTTTTCCAGTTTTCAACTTTCCCACGATTCGATTCACTGGCTTCCATTACCCCCTTTCCCTCCTCTCTCTCCAATGGATCGCTCGCCGCAGCATTACCAACCACACGTTTCTCATTGCCGCTTCGATCGGCAATGGAAGACCTTGAGCTCGCACTTGGGCGCCACCGTCGCCAGCAGCAGCCGCGCCGTCGCCTCCTGCATCACCGGAACCCCTTCCTTCTCCACCAGCGCCGCCGCCACGATCCTCTCGTACCCGGCCCCGCCGCCGACGATGTACGCCACGATCGCCGCCTGCACGGGCCCCAGGCTCGGATTGTACGCCGCCGACTCCATGTACGAGCCCCGGTACACCTTCCCCTCGCAGTCCATCAGCGCCACTCCCGACGGGCACTTGCTGTACGGCGCGTGGGACCGATTCGCCGCCTCCAGCGCCTCCAATTTCAGATCCTCCTCCTTGCCGTGGTTCCCACCGCCGCCATTTAGGTTTCCGTTCTCGAGAGGGGGAATTACGAGGGCGAGATCGTTGTTGTGCCGCTCGAGGATCAGGGGGACGTCCTTGGAGAGGAGATCGTCGGGGCCGAATCGGTGGGGGAGGATGGTGGAGAGGTCCTGGTACCGGCGGCGGAGGCGGTGGTGGTTGTTGTCATCGGCGGCGGAGGAGAGGTGGTGGTGGTGGTGGTGGTGGTCGTTGTTGTTGTTGTCGTCGGTGATGAGGATCCGAATGCCGGGGGCGGCGCGGAGTTCCTGGAGGAACTGGCGGCAGTGGCCGCAGGGGGCGGCGGAGACGGCGAAGCAGGGGAGGGAAGGCTCGGCATTGAGGGAGAGGTTGGTGACGAGGAATTGCTCGGCGTGGATGGAGTTGTTGAGCGGGAGGCCCGGGAACTCGATGTTGGCACCGAAGAAGATCCGGCCCGTGGATCCGAGCCCAACGGTGCCGACGTGGTAGTTGGAGATGGGCGGGCGGGCCAGGGCCTGGGCCGATTTCACCAGCGAAGGGAGCAGCTCCGCCGCCGAGGCGAAACCTGATTGCTTCGCCATTGATTCGGCTTCCGCCGCTTCGATTACGAACCGAGGCCGCCCGATCTTGCTGTCCATTTTTCCGGCCGGCGGATTTCGCGAAATCGGAGAGGATTTTTGAGAGGCAGAGAGGGAAGTGGAAGAGAGAGAGCGGTGGTGGTGGGTGGTGGTGGGGGAAGGGAAGTGGAAGAGAGATCTGGATTATTTATATAAGGAGGAAATTGCTGAGTTTTGGGTACTCTTTTATTTATTAATTTATTAAGTAATAAAAAAACAATTTCCGTTTCTTCCTATTCCTGTGTTGCTTGCTAGTTCTCCCATCCATCCCGATTTTGATTTTAATTTATATCGATACAAGTAGAAATATTTTTCATAATTTCGCAAACCAAATCACATTTGGTTAGATGGTTAATTATGAAATTTGACTATTTGTTCTTCCATAAATCTCCGCTCCACGATGAGTTGGCATTTTAAAATTTCGTGTGAGCTATTTATATTTTATCTACATAAAGTTGGAGTTGGATGTTGTGACTTGTGATACACAAAATAATATCTATTTTGGGACGAATTTTTTTAATCATTCTTAAAGCATGTTCACCATTCTGGTTAGTACCATTGTAAAATTTTATGCCATATAATATATTTTTTTTGTAACAAAGATAATATATACTATATGAAAAAAATCATAGATAAAAATATGATGACATATTCAACGAGAAAAAAGAAAAGAAAATGACATGAATTTTCTTCCTCTAAATGTTGCATGTATGATCCTGTAGGTCTCATTTAACCTAATTACTCTGTAAATTTTCCTCTTAGATCTAATGATGGTGGGTGGATTTGAACTAAGGGGTCGTTTGGAAAATAATATTCGGAGTATAGATTCATAAAATTTAAAGATTTAACAAAAAAATTATATATTTTGGGTGCCTTCTACGGTACCCCAGGTGAAATCCGGGGCACCGTATACCTTGAGTATGAAAACGCTATCTAGACCTCGAATTAGCAGGATTTTTGGGTATGATACTATACTCTAACCCTTAATGAGTGAACCCTGGGTCCTAATTATCTAAATCATAAACTATAAACTCTAAGATGGTGTATTGATTTTTTTGCCTATATTTGGACGAATCATAATCGTTGATTACTGTTTCTAATCAAATTGATCTTGGGGTATAAGATTTAGAGAATTAATACCTAGATTTTGATCTTGAAGGGTTAGACTATAGTATCATGTCCAAAAGATCAGACAATTCAAGTTCTGAATAGCATTTTCTTACTCAATGTATGCGGTACCCCGGATTTTACCTTGGGTACCGTAGAATTCCCCTATTTTTAGTTGCTTTATATGTAGTAGATTTTAGGTTCAGAGATTACATCTCTCAAATCAAGAGATATAAATCTCATAAATGTAGAGGCTTTGTATATGGATTTGGGAAATTATTGTTTTCACTAAATGCCAACAATGACAATACCAAATATCGAACTTTTTAAAATCTTATTTCAACAATTTTATTGAGTTAATTTTTTTTGAATTATTCAAAATTTAGAGATTTAGACTCCAAAATTTTCCAAGCGACCCAAAGGCATTTTTGGCCATGTTGTTTACTAACAAAAAAATGACCTGTGAGTTAAATTTAAGGGGTATTTAGAATCAAAGTTGAGTCCTTTTAGATAAGGCATCATAGTTTTTTGAGTTGCCGTTCACTGATAAAAAGTTAATAAAACCGACTATTCTAATTCCTAAATTTGTATAAAAATTTAATATAATATTATCTATATTTTAAAATTTAGTGGGCTACAGTCTCTACTAGCTTCAACCTACCTACATAGGGGTAATGATCGAGAGTGTCTACGAAACTTTGAGAGTGGATAATTAGTAATGATTTTGAAGATCACTAGTATACATTTTAGTTACTAATTCATTGAGATCGTAAGGATAGAGGGGTTATTTTGAGTCCCAGGTGCCAGGTGTTATAGAATTCTTGAGTCTCCTCTCGGATTTGAAGAAAATGGGATGAAAAAGAGGTGAAACTTTGAATAATTTTGTGACCATTTTGTGGGACGACGGACGCCTGATATATATAATTGGAATTTTCTTGTGATTGTTATTTTATAAACAAATTAATGTTATCGATTACCTCCCTTAAAGATAGTTAAAAACCTGACATATAATAGGAAGTTGGAAACTATAAATAACTCTCTTAGTTAGCCACGAAGCTGATCACGACCAAAGTTATAACGATAATTCTGTGTGAACACAAGATTCCTGCAGTTGTGTGGGCTGCATGGCGAAATTAGTAGTCATGTAATGTGGCTTTGGATTCCGATTCCACCTGAGGGGATTCCTATTGTTTGCCCGATGTGATCGATGTTGAAGTTGAGACTAAAATCAACTAGGGAAAGAAGGAAGATGACAATTCGGCTGCCATTTGGAAGATTGGAGGAACTCGTCCATATCAAGATACAGTAGAGTCAGCTGGCCGACCAGAGCCAGTAATGAAAATCGAACGCTATCAAACTAGTGAACATTGAAAGGGCTTTTTTGGCCACCATATGGGCCACCCTGTTGCGAACACGACCAACAAAAGAAACACTAAACTGGTGGAAATATTGTCTCAATAACTTGATCTCGCTCAAAATTCGCCTCACCTTAACCTTGTCGAGCACCACCTGAGCATCTCCAGTGAAAATGACATACTGCATACCCACCTCAAGCGCCCAACGAATCTCATCCCTCAAGGCTAGAAGCTCCAACAAGAAAGGATCTTGGACGTCCGGGTACAAAGAGGCATCAGCACCAAACAACGTTCATGAGGCGTCCTGCATCACCCAACCACGTGCGCACCATGGGAACCCGAACGGATGGCCCTATCCGTGAACACTCACACTACCCCCTCCCTAGCCTGCACCCCACCCTGCATTTAGGAGAGCTTATTGAATTTTTTTTGGTAGTTGATTGAATTGTTTGTGGGTTGGCGTGGATGTCTAGGTGTCTGTTTAAGAGATTTTTCAAATATCCTACGAAAATTCAATGGACTATAGCACATTCATTTTAATTAGGATTTCATTTTTTTTTTTTTTTGCATAATATAAGATTTTTTTGCTCCACAAGATGGTATCCATTTTGTTTTTGATATTTTTTTGAGAAAAAATTAAGATCGTCCTATCACGATATTACTACTGACAGTGATATGATATCATGGTGGTATGATGTTGATATGATAATGATATGATATTTGTATGATGTTGGTATGATAGTAATATGATGTTGATATCAGGTCTTATATTTAACAAAATAATTTGATGGCATCATAACACATGATATTATCACAATGATAACATATTTAACAAAATAATTTGATGGCATCATAACACATGATATTATCACAATGATAACATGATATGACATTGTTATGATGTTGATACGAGGTCTTATGTTCGACAAAAAATAACAAAATGTGTATATGTTAATAAATGCATTCTTTCTATCCAATTATTGTTTTAATTTTGAGTTGAAGTGTAAGATATGGGTCATCATATCATAATGATATGATAGATATGATACTGATAATGCTATAATCGACACGTGTTTTAAAGAGTTAATTTTTTCCATGCTCAAAATATAGTAAAATGGATATCATTATGTAGATAATAATTAATGCGTTCTTTCTATGCTAAATTTTTTAAATTCCGTTAAAAAGAGTGATATAGGATTCGCATAAGAAAAATATGGGAGTAGAAAAGGTAGTATTTGACTGGTCAGCTGTCTCTCCTCTGACTTACGCATCACATCGTAAAAAAAACCCAGAGGCGCGCGAAATTACCAGTCATCCCCTCTAATTTTTTTATGCGAATTAATCTAGGCTATTAGATTGTGATTGTGAAATAATCTAGCCCATTATATTGTTTATGAGATCCAAGCTCTCGGGAGGTGGGGGCTGGAGTAGTGTTTAGTCTGTGGGGAGGAGGTGGAATCTCTTGAGCATCTCTTCTTCCGTTGTTGCATGACGGTTGGACTGTGGGAAGTCGTGGAGCTGGTACGGCGTAGGGATCGCTTTCCCCTAAGAAATATTGACATCTTTTTGTTTAATTTGTTAGTGTAGAAGGACCTTGATCGCAATATTTTGATGAGGATTGCGGCTCTCTTTTGACGAGGATTGTTCCAGAGAAGAAGCCCCCCTCTAACTGAGATGAGTGATTCCACTCTTCTCCTTCACATTTATCAAAAACTAATCTCTCGTCCGTCTGGCCACTTCCCCCACCCCCAAGCTCTAAAATATAGAGAAAACGAATTTTCCAAGGAAACTGTTAGAAACAAAATTTCTAACGTGTTTGGGATTGGAGAAATTAGCTAGATCAATTAGGGATTGACCTAGTTAGGGATTGGAATTGAGAATTTTTAAAACAAGGAAGGGGAAGAAAGGGATGCTGCTGCGGCAGCTTTTAGGAGAGGAAGAGAAGAGGGGAAAGACGCAGGAAGGGAGAGAGAGAGAGAAGGATTTAGGTTTTGTTATTTTTATTGCTTAATGAAAAATAACATCACTACTGCAAATTATATAATCCGCATAATCTTTATCTCCTACCTAACTAATAAGAAATAACAATCGACCCCTGCTTATTTCCCAAATACCCCAAATAATCTCCAATAATGCTAATTCTCCCAAACAACGATAATTAATCCGATAAAACAAAAACGCGAATAAATATGTTTCTAACAAAAACAACGATAGACGCTAATCTGAGGGAAAACTCACAAGGAATCCATCGTTTTAAAGATAGCAGCAATCCCCCAACGTACTTGCGTAGAAATGAAGGGTACATTTACATGTGCCGACAAGTTGGCCAATACTACAAGTAGGTTGGTTCATTTGGCATCTTGTGTTCTAGCTTTTCCCAAATTATATATAGCTCTGTGTTTAATCAGCAAAAGTGAAGGGTAGAGTTGTATACGTTACCTGGTACACTGTATATATACTTACCCGGTCGTCAACCGTCAAGAACTGATTCGAATTATTGGG